TGAATCCTGCTGTTCAAATAGGTCTTAAATTATATTCTGTACAAAAGTATACAAATATTAAGGATGGATGAAGTCATGCAGTTCCATTCTGTATAGTGATAAGAAGAATTTCCCAGTTTTGTCATTTTTGACAGAACAGTCTGAAGGACCATCAGTTGCCTTCCCTTGCCATAGTGAGAGTTTTTTCTCATTAAACCATGTTTAAACCATGAGAATGTTTTCTGTCCCATTCAGGGAGTAGTGACTTGATTTACCAATTATAATAAGAAAAAAAAAATAAAATAACACACAGCCTTACTTGGGGCATTTATGAAAGCCTGAAAGGTAAAGGTAGATTATGAATTTTATCCCGACTTCAAAGCCTGGGTAAATTCATGGGGGAATAAAACTATTAAATGTTCTATTATTAATAGCTGTTTACAACCAGATTACAGAATATCAGAGTTGGAAGGGTCCTTGGAGATCTTTTAGTCCAACCCTCTGCTCAGGTAGGAGACTATATGCCATTTCAGACAAATGGCTATTTATTTGTCTTCTTGAACACCTCCAGTGTTGAAGCACCCCAACTTCTGGGGGCAAGTTGTTCCACTTGCTACCGAGGCGCGGAGCCGGGCTTCCCTACCTGAGGCCTACCAAGCTGGCTCCCAATGCCCCCCCCTCCCCTTCCCCTCCTTTCAGAGAGATTTGTCGTTCAGTTCTGGCCACGGACGGCTAAGCTCCGCGAAGCGTTTTTGGCCCTTTGTTCGCCTTTACCTTCACGCCGTCCAGATGGTCCAAGCAAAGGCGCGCGGCTTTATCCTCTCAGGCGCCTTCGGCCAACCAGCCCCCGCGGTCGGCGAGCGCGGCAACGACCTCCTCCCCTACCCCAAAGCCCACTCCGGCTCTCGCTCGCCGCCCAGCTTCCCTTTCGTTTCCGGCTTCCTGGCCACGTAGGAGGCGGAGCGGAGCAGACCGACGCTGTAGACTAGGGTTGCTCTGGGTGTACGCCTCCTCCGCAGCCATCGTCCGCTCTTTATCCGGAGGTCGGTGGGAATTGCGACGCACACGTGTCCATAAGTTTGCAGCTTTTATTTGCGTTGAAGCAGACACAGAAAATTGGGTGGGGAGGGGGGGGTGGATATATCTACGAACGCGAATGTTAATTCTAAAATCATATTTTTTTCTTTAGATAGGACTTGCTCCCAAGAAAATTTCCCAGTTAAAAATATTGAGTATCACGTAAAATATACCAAAGGAAACAATAGCACATCTTTATAATAGTTTGTTTTCTTCGTTCAGTCCTGTCCAAAGACTCCTTTGACCACTTCCTGCAGTTCTCGTCATGATTTCAGAAGTGATTTGCCATTGCCTAACCCTAACCCCAAGGCTGAAAAAAAAATGACCGGCTAAAGTTACCGAGTTGGCTAAGGCAAAGCTAGAGCACACTGCCGGTTTATAGCCCAATGTCTTAAATCACTATGCCAAACTGACTCCAGTTGCATGTGTACAGTTTTATATCTTGGGCATGCTTTCACACAGGATGGTATTGCTTTCATTTTTTCTGAGCCTTGATGTAGTAAGAATTGTTTACTTCAGTCCTTTCTGCAGTCTTAGCTGGAACAATCCTATGGTCATTTGTAGATCATCCAATTCCCAGCAGCACAGTATCAATATTGCAATCCATGTGTAGTATTTGAGAGCTAAGATGTTGATAGAGATACATTTAAAAAGTAACAGTGATTTAGTGCAATCAATGTAATAAGGCAGCTAACTAGAGGTAGTCCTCGACTTACAACAGTTTGCTTAGTGACTGTTCAAAGTTACAATGGCATTGAAAAAGGTGACTTGTAATCAGGGGTAAAATCTAAAATTTGTTACTACCGGTTCTGTGGGGGTGGCTTGGGAGGGGTAATGTGACTGGGTGGGCGTGGCCAACTTTTTTTTTTTTTTACTTTTAAAAGCATTTTTCTACAACCTCTTCAGCCAAAGAGATTGCAGAAAAAAAATGCTTTTAGAAGTCTCTGACGATCAGGCAACTCAGCTGGGATTGCCAGACGCTTTTAAATGCATTTTGTTTTATACAACTTCTTCAGCCAAAGAGGTTGTAGAAAAAATGCTTTTAAAAGCCTCTGATAATCCCAGCTGAGCCGCATGATCATCAGAGGCCTTTTTTTACTTTTAAAAGCATTTTTTCGGCTGAAGAGGTTGTAGAAAAAATGCTTTTAAAAGTAAAAAAAAAACAGCCTCTGATGATTGCGCGGCTCAGCTGGGCATGGGTGGGGCACAGGGATTTTAGCTACCAGTTCTCCGGACCACCCACCACCATTGCTACCGGATTGGGTGATCCGGTCCGAACCGGGAGCATTTCACCCCTGCTTATGATCATTTTTCACTTATGAGCATTACAGCATCCCCATGGTCATGTGATTTACAATTGGATGCTTGGCAAGTGGTTCATATTTATGATGGTCACAGCATCCCGGGGTCATGTGATCTCTTTTTGTGACCTTCTGACAAGCAAACTCAATGGAGAAGCTAGATTCACTTAACAACTGTGTTACTAATTTAACAACTGCAATGATTCACTTAACAAATCTGGCAACGGAGGATTTCGGACAATACCTGTATGACAAAATCGCTCAGATCCGGGGGGATTTGGACTCTGACTGGGTAGATCAGGGCAGGGTGACGAGGAACAGTCTTGAGAATGTTATCTGGGAGGAGTTTGATGCTGTGACTCCCGATGATGTGGACAGGATTTTGGGGAGACTTAGTACGGCCACATGTTTACTGGACCCGTGTCCCTCCTGGTTGGTACTGGCTTCCCGGGAGGTTACACGAGGCTGGCTCCAGGGTGTTATCAACGCTTCGTTGAGTGAGGGTTACTTCCCCACCGCCTTGAAAGAGGCGGTGGTGAGGCCTCTCCTCAAGAAGCCGTCCCTGGATCCGGCAATATTGGCCAACTATCGTCCTGTTTCCAACCTTCGCTTCATGGCGAAGGTTGTTGAGAGTGTGGTTGCGCGACAGTTTCCACAATTCCTGGAGGAAACATCTTATCTAGATCTGTTCCAGTCGGGTTTCAGGTCTGGGCACAGCACGGAAACGGCATTGGTCGCGTTGGTTGATGATCTCTGGAGGGCTCGGGACAGGGGTTGCTCCTCTGTTCTGGTCCTGTTAGACCTCTCAGCGGCTTTTGATACCATCGACCATGGTATCATGCTGCACCGGCTGGAAGAGTTGGGGGTGGGAGGCACCGTGTTGCGGTGGTTCTCCTCCTTTCTCTCCGACCGGTCGCAGTTTGTGTTGGCAGGGGGGCAAAGGTCAACCTCGAGGCCTCTCGTCTGTGGAGTGCTGCAGGGATCGGTCCTCTCGCCCCTTCTGTTCAACATTTATGTGAAGCCGCTGGGCGAGATCATCCATGGCTTCGGGGTGAGATACCATCAGTACGCTGATGACACCCAGCTGTACATCTCCACCCCAGGCCACCCCAACGATGCCCTTGAAGTGATGTCTCAGTGCCTGGAGGCTGTGCGGATCTGGATGGGGAGGAACAGGCTCAAGATCAACCCTTCCAAGACTGAGTGGCTGTGGCTCCCGGCATCCCGATATAGTCAGTTGACTCCATCACTGACTATTGGGGGCGAGTCCTTGGCCCCCACAGAAGGGGCTCGCAATCTGGGAGTCCTCCTGGATATGCAGCTGTCCTTGGAGGAAGGACAGCTTTTATCAGGTTCGCCTGATTCGCCAGTTGCGGCCCTTTCTTGATCGGGATTCCCTGTGCACAGTCACTCACGCCCTCGTCACCTCTCGCCTTGACTACTGCAATGCTCTCTATATGGGGCTCCCCTTGAGGGGCACCCGGAGGCTCCAGCTGGTCCAGAACGCAGCAGCGCAGGTAGTGATGGGAGCAGCATGGCGCTCCCATGTAACACCGCTCCTGCGCGAGCTGCACTGGCTCCCGGTGGTCTTCTGGGTGCACTTCAAGGTGTTGGTTATCACCTTTAAAGCGCTCCATGGCATAGGGCCTAGCTATCTTCGAGACCGCCTGCTGCTACCGACGACCTCCCAGCGACCCGTGCGCTCCCACAGAGAGGGCCTCCTCAGGGTGCCATCAGCCAAACAATGTAGGCTGGTGACCCCCAGGGGGAGAGCCTTCTCTATGGGGGCACCTACCCTCTGGAATCAGCTGCCCCCAGAGATAAGGAGAATCCAAGACCTCAGTGCCTTCCGCCGTGCCCTTAAAACCCACTTTTTCCAGCAAGCCGGGCTGGCTTAGGAAGAAATTTTTTAAATTTTTTAAATGTTAATTGGTTTGTGGTTTTTTAAATTTTTGGGCCAAATTTATATAGATTTTAATTGTTTTTAATATTTGTATTTCATGTTTTTAATTCTGGCTGTGCACCGCCCTGAGTCCTCAGGGAGAAGGGTGGTATATAAATTGAAAATAAATAAAATAAATAAATAAATAAAAATAATATTTATTTGTTTGTTTGTTTATTCATTCATTCAATTTCTATTACCACCTATCTCAAACCAGAGTGACTCTTGGTGATGAAGAATCAATTAAAACCAAGTACAAACACAATACAAAAATATAAATATATATAGCAGCTGAGAAAAAAATATAACCATAAATGTTAATACAACCGGGAAAGAGGGCCCTTAACACACTTGGGCCCCATGGCAGGAACATAACCAGGTCTTGCAGGCCTTATGAAAGAGAAACAGGATAAGGGCTATCTTATCTCTGAAGGGAGAATGTTCCAGAACACAGGCACCATGGCAAAAATGGCACACCTCCTAGTCCCCACCAGCAGACATTCCTGCCAGACTGGATTGGGTGAGTAGAAACAAATGATGCCTCAGGTAACTGGTCACAAGCCAGGTGGTAACAGATCACAAGTTAAGTTAGAGAAAATAGAACTGACATAGAACTTCTGAAACTGGCAAGATCAATCAGTTTAAGTTTTAGCATAATTATATTTATGAAGAAAGCATATAAAAGTTTCCTATTGGTTCAAATAAAAATTCTTACCCAAGAGTCATTTCCACCAAGGTGTTTGAACTTGGATAAACTGGATTAAATGTATGTTTGATCCCACTGGAAGCAGCAAACATTTTATGGGGCAATGTTTCATCTAACTGCAATGAATGCATAAATCCATGTAAATAACAAAACCACCATATTACAAATATTTATTTCCCATTAATAACCACTGGATTTTAAGGATACAAAAGAATTCCACTCTGGTGAATACTTATCACTGATTGTTACTATTGTTTTACATAGCCTATTAAAACAAGTATTGATCCCACTCATGTTACTAAGCAAATTGCTTATTCCTCGACTGCATTATAGAAATGCAGTGTAGTAATGATTGGATATTTTTCCATATTAAAATATTGCTAAATGTTTCTTTGCTTTAATATTTCTTGTAATAAAAGTTGAGCCAAAATTACCAAATTAATACTGGAGTCTATAATGCATGCAATAAAAACTCAAGGTGTAGTGGAAAAGGCTATTAATTTAGAATAATTAAGAACATCACCTCATTTACATAGTCCTGGTATTTGGACACTTCTTCTTCAATATCAAAGCATAATTTTCTAAGACCTAGTAACTGTTTCCTTAGAAGAAGCATCTTTCTGGAAAGAAATACAATTTATATGAAAGTATTGTATAACTTTTGTTAATATGTGCTGCTATAATACAATACAGTAATGTTAAATGTTACTCAAAAAAAGGAACAACTTGCCTCATCCAATCCTCTGCCTTGTCTAAGAAGGTTTCATATTTGTTGACACATTCTTCCTTGAACAGAGTCATAGCTTTTGTGGCATGCAAAAATAGTTTCTGCCTGTAATACCCAGAAATAAGAATCAGAATAAAGTACTAATTTTCCCAATTTATTTGAGAGTTTAAAAACCCATAGAACAGGCATGTAACTAAAGTTCAGGAAAGAGGAAACATTCAACAATTCACCTTTATGTATATATAGAGCAGTGATGGCGAACCTATGACACATGTGCCACAGGTGGCACGCAGCGCATTCTATGGCCAAGCAAGCCATTGCCCCAGTTCAGCTTTGTTGTGCATGCACGCCTCCCACCGGCCAGCTGATTGTTGGGTCTCTGCCACACATGTGCGAGGGGTTGGGACACGTGTGGGAGCAGCGCTCACATGTGCGGGGGGGGTGCGTGCAGGGTGCCACACGCGCATGCATGGGGAGCGGGGCATATGCACGGGAGCCGTGCCCACATTGCGTTTTGGAGGTTTGGGCGTGTGTGTGCACATTCGTGCGCCCTTGGGCACTCGGTCTGGAAAAGGTTAGCCATCACTGATATACAGAATACATTAGGTCCGTGATGCAAACCTATGTCACATGTGCCAGAGGTGGCACACAGCGCCTTCTCTGTGAGCACGTGAGCTGTCACCCCAGCTCAGCTCCGCTGCACATGTGTGTGCACCTCCCGCCGGCCAGCTGGTCTTTGGGTCTCTGCCGCACATGCGCGGGGGGGGTGGGATGCATGTGTGCATGCACGTAGGAGCATGTAGTCAAGTAACATATTTTAGTATGTTCTTTCCATGATAATTCAAATTAATGCACTGCTTTATTTTGAATGGACTCAACATAATGGGTTGGCTATAAATTGCTTTAATGTGAACTACTGTAACTTTCAAGACAGATAGTTTGTGCCCTTCTCAATTATACATAAAGTAAAAATTAATACATGAAAAAGGATATGCATGCTCTAAAATGCAAATAAAGAAAAAGATTTAAAGAACATTTTAATTTTCCAGTTTGGTTGGATGTTTTAGATTATTACTATTTTCCAGTTAAATAATTTTTAACCATTGTGTTTAAGTTTATTAATAATTTAACATTTAATAAATCTTGATGTATATGAAGACTTCTAAACCTTCAGAGTTGCAGAACAGCCAGCTTTTTCTTCAACGACTTGATTTGTATTTTTTCCCTTTACCCTTTCTAAAACTGTAATTATGAGGCCTAGATTTATAAAATACAGAGGACTCATTCTAATCTCTCAATACGTCAATAGACATGCACCTAGCTTATATATGTTTTCTATTTTATATGGACACAATCCAAAAGTCTGAGTAGCCATTTGTTACTTCATCCCTAGCTTCACAGAACTTGTTCCAATTATATTGTTGAAGACAAGAAACAAAGAAAATACAGTACACTACAAATATAAAATCCTTATATAATAAACTGACTTACTTATCAAATTTGTGAATTTGTTCTTCGTTATAAGGAAGTCCTAAAGAAGGAACAATTTAAATCAGATTGGATGTCCAAGAAATTATTTCACATAAATTACCCATACTAATATACTGATTAAGTGCCAGCAAGTTGGGGTCAACGCTTCATGTCTACACAAGACTTTTTTCAGGATGATCTGTCTTCAATTTGGATTTTTAGGGTTCTCAATTGTACATTCACTGCTATTATAATCTAATTCACCCATTTTGCTGCCGATTCTCCTCTTTGTTTCTACTTTTCCCAGCATAATGGACTTCTCAAGAGACTGGGTCTCCCCTTAATGTGCCTCAAATATGATTGTTTGAATCTAGTCATGTATACTATTTCAATTGAAAACTCTGAGTTTATATATTCCATGGCCATTTGTTTGTTTTCCTGATAAAATGGTATTCTCAATAGTGTTCTTTATTGGAATTGCACTTCTTCTACTCAAGAGAAAAACATTTTCTTTGCTTTCAGAATTTTTGCCTCACTAACTCAACCCAGAAATTTAAGAATATTTTGTAATTAATTAAAGCTAAAACAAAAACTAAATTTGACCACTTACTTCTTTCTGCTTTGTCTTTTTTGAATTGATAATAAATATCTGTTATGGAAGTCAGTAGGACTTGCAACCTTTCTGGGCTAGAAGAAAGTAGAATAAAATAAAAATATAAAGATAATGCTGTTGGGCAGTGCTTTTAATTCAAAGGCAAACAATGACTTTAAGCTCCCGGGATATGAAATTGGCACTTTCTGCAACTTAAACATTTCTTTTCCAAGAAACATTCTGCAACTGTTCAAGATACCTAAGCAATCCCAGGAAAAGCTACAACTCCTTTAAGAAGCTTCCAAAACCCCATTTTGGCTTCTAATTGAAAGCACAATTATGTTCTAAACAATGATTCAGGCCAGGATTTAAAAGTTAAATAACCGATTAAAATGTGAATTCTACTTACTTTCTATCTTTCGGATGTGTACCATCTTGATTGGTCCAGCTGTCAGATAGTAAACCACTAGGAGAAAGTTTGTTTTTGATATCCTGAAGACTAGTCTCTATTGTTCCCTGAGAACTAGAAAGCTACAAAAATACAACAAATTTAACTATATATATATACTTTTATAACTTAATAAAAACTATAATTTGCAACATTTACACCAATAAATCCCAGGAATTAGAAAAAGCAGAAAATAGAACTATTGCCAGAGGTCAGCAGCACAACGGTATCTTGTAAAAGCTAAAACTTATTCTAGAACTAAAAATATTTCAAAAATAATTTCACTGGGGAAAAACTATCCATGGTATCTAAGAATATGTGTCTGCTATGTGTTGTAAATATGTACATTTATATTTGGTTAATACAAATACATATAGGGCAATCTGTATGTGCTTTGAGAGACAATATAGTTGCAGATGTTGTAAGTATGCAATAAATTATAAGCCTAAAAAAGGAGCTGGGAAAATAGTAATTTCAAAAACTGATATAATACATATATATTAAGCTATCTTATGTAATACCAACAACACTAGATAATGTAACTGAATGGTACTACATACCAGTAATAGTTTAATAGATTCTACTGGTTCAATATTTATAGATATAATGAGAATTCATTTGATATTAAGAGCTATTTCACATTTTTAAATTTTATTTATAAAATTACCATCTACCTGAATGGATAGTATTTCGTACATGGCAAATTATACATTTCAAATTTGCATAAGTGCTATAAACAATACATTATTATTGTTCTCAGCAAGAAAAATACAAATGTATATAAACTTATTTTACTTATTAGACACTAAAAAAAATTCTTTGCAAGTCAATTTCAGTACTCCTATAATTTGAAAGCAACTTTATTGAGTGCTAGAATATTGTAATATAAAGTTTTACCCGTAAGAGTTTTGAGTGTATATCTGAAATGTCATCCACTTCTGATGGTGCCAGATTTTGGTATCTGTTCACAGAAAAGTGAAGACAAACACGAACATTGGTTTATAACTTTCTTTACAATATCACATTTCTTAATGTAACATTCTTGAATAATGTTATTTTGGATCCAATTGGAAATTTATTTGTGTGTGTATACAAACAAACTTATTAGTATTATTTAAAAAGTCTTACTCAAATGATATGTGGCTTTAATTAGGCAATAAAAAAACATGTGGAGAAATTCCAGTAGACATATGCAGCAGTTTTGCTGAATATTAGTTCAATATTTTATGCTAGCAGATTAATCATTGTGTTACTGAAACAATATCTGCCATATGATTTATTCTGCTCTTCTCTGGCTCAGGTTTTCTTGGTTCACAAAGCTTCCAAAACACAAATAAATAAAAAATAAATCACTGAATTCCATGTGATGATCATGTTCCACTGATGCTGTTTAGTTTCAAAGCTTTTTCCATAAATTAGGTCAGCAGGCTTGTCTTTTCCAAATACCGTATTTTTCGGAATATAAAACACACTTTTTTCTCCCCTAAAAGGGGGTGAAAATTTAGGTGCATCTTATACACCGAATGTAACCCTGCCCACCCACTGGCCCCCACCCTTTGGCCTCTGCCTCGCATGCAAGCAAACAGCAAGAAAAAACAGCTCCTTTCAGCTTCAGCACAACCTAATTAGCACAAGTTGATAGGATCAGCCTCCTGACTCTCAGCTGATTTGCTCTCAGCTGTTTTGCTCAGGGCTCTGCTGCTTGCTGCAAAGAGCTAAATTGCTGGAGCAGATTTTTTTTCCCCTTGTGCTAATCAAGCTATGCTGAAAACAAAAATGAAAGTAAAGCAGGCTGTTTGCTGTAACGAGGCAAAATTGCGCAGAGGGAGATTTCTTTTTCTTCTTTTTCCTCACCAAAAAAGGTAGGTGCAAACAATGGGAAATTTAGGGCAAAAGAGGAGAGTTTAAGATTTTAAAACACACACACACAAAAAAAAAAAAAAAAGGAGAAAGAAAAAGGCAAAAATAAAAATGGGGAGAAAAAGAAAAAGAAATGAAAGAGAAAGATGTTATACATATTTAGAATTGAAATATGAATAGTAGTAAGAAATAAATCGGAAATCATGAAGCTCCACTCGTTTTCCAGGTGGCGCAGATCCTCAGGGCCCTGGCCTCCGTCTGATGTTATGCAATGCCAGGTCTGTAGTAAATAAAGCCCCCCTCATTTGTGATCTTGTTCAGGAGGGGGGAGCGGACCTGACAGGTATTACGGAAACCTGGTTGGGCCAAGAGGGGGGGGTGTCCCTCTTGTTGAAATGTGCCCACCAGGTTTCCGCGCATTCCATCAGCCGAGGTTGCAGGGTAGGGGCGGGGGGGCAGCGGTTATTATTAACGAAGGTCTGAGACCGAGGGAGGCCACTGTTCCTCAGACGGCCGGCTGTGAATCCCTCCTTGTGAAATGGGGCCACGGGGTTCAGATGGGTTTGCTGATCACATACCTGGCTCCCTGCCATGTGGCAGCAGCCCTGCCCGAGCTACTCAGTGTCATCGCCACGGTGGCGGTTGAGACCCCTAGGCTTATGGTCATGGGGGATTTCAACTTGCCGTCCGTTGGTGAGGCATCTGAGGTGGCTCGGGAGTTCATGGCTTCCATGACAGCCATGGACCTGACCCAGTTAATTCATGGCCCTACCCACACGGGGGGAAACACGCTGGATCTGGTTTTTGTCTCTGGACAGTGGTTGAGTGATCTCGAGATAGGGGATATAGTCACCGAGCCCTTGTCATGGTCTGATCACTCTCTCCTTCGTCTCGACCTTCGAACCGCTACACCCCGCTGCAGGGAGCCGGAGCCGGTAAGATGGTTCCGCCCCAGGCGCCTGATGGAACCGGATAGGTTCCAGATGGAGCTTGGGCCATTCCCTGAGGCTCTGGCACACGCCTCGACTGGAGACCTAGTGGCCGCCTGGGATAGGGCGGCCGCTGGAGCTCTGGATCGGGTCGTGCCTTTGCGGCCTCTGACCCGGCGCCGATCTCATTTAGCTCCTTGGTTCACTGAGGAGCTGAGGGAGTTGAAGCGCCGGAAAAGACGCCTAGAGAGTAGTTGGAGGGCCAGTCTTTCTGAATCTGACCGGACACTGGTAAGAGCTCATATTAGGAATTACCTAGTGGCGATAAAAGCAGCGAAATGTAGCTATTTTGCTGCTCTTATTGCGTCATCAGATAATCGCCCGGCTGCCCTGTTTAGGGTGACCCGCTCCCTGCTCCACCAGGAAGCGCGGGAGGACCCCTTGAAGGGTAGAGCCGAGGATTTTGTCCAATATCTGTATGACAAAATCGCTCAGATTTGGGAAGATCTGGACTCCGACTGGATAGTCTCAGGGGGAGGAACTGGGGCAGGTCTTGAGAATGTTATCTGGGATGAGTTTGATCCTGTGACCCCTGAGGACGTGGGCAGGATTCTGGGTAGACTGAACGCGACCACTTGTTTATTGGACCCGTGTCCCTCCTGGTTAGTGCTGGCTTCTCGGGAGGTGACACGAGGCTGGTTCCAGGGGATTATAAATGCTTCGCTGGGTGAGGGTGTCTTTCCTGCCGCCTTGAAAGAGGCGGTGGTGAGGCCTCTCCTCAAGAAGCCTTCCCTGGACCCGGCAATGTTGGTAAATTATCGTCCGGTCTCCAACCTTCGTTTTGTGGCAAAGGTTGTTGAGAGTGTGGTTGCGCAACAGCTTCCCCAGCACCTGGATGAAACGACGTATCTGGATCCGTTCCAGTCGGGCTTCAGGCCCGGGTACAGCACGGAAACGGCATTGGTCGCGTTGGTTGATGATCTCTGGAGGGCTCGGGACAGGGGTTGCTCCTCTGTCCTGGTCCTGTTAGATCTCTCAGCGGCTTTTGATACCATCGACCATGGTATCATGCTGCACCGGTTGGAAGAGTTAGGGGTGGGAGGCACTGTGTTGCGGTGGTTCTCCTCCTTTCTCTCTGACCGGTCGCAGTCCGTGTTGACAGGGGGACAGAGGTCGACCCCGAGGCCCCTCATATGTGGGGTGCCGCAAGGGTCGGTCCTCTCACCTCTCCTGTTCAACATTTATGTGAAGCCGCTGGGCGAGATCATCCGTGGTTTCGGGGTGGAGTACCATCAGTACGCTGATGACACCCAGCTGTACATCTCCACCCCGGATCACCCCAACGATGCCCTTGAAGTGATGTCCCGGTGCCTGGAGGCCGTACGGATCTGGATGGGGAGGAACAGGCTCAGGCTCAACCCATCCAAGACCGAGTGGCTGTGGTTTCCGACATCCCGATATAGCCAGTTGACGCCATCACTGACTATTGGGGGCGAATCATTGGCCCCCACGGAGAGGGCTCGCAACTTGGGCGTCCTCCTGGATTCACGGCTGTCTTTAGAAGAGCACTTGACGGCCGTGACCGGGAGGATTTTTTATCAGGTCCGCCTGATTCGCCAGTTGCGTCCCTTTCTGGATCGGGACTCGTTACGCACGGTCACTCATGCCCTCGTCACCTCCCGCCTGGACTATTGTAATGCTCTCTACATGGGGCTCCCCTTGAGGAGCACCCGGAGGCTCCAACTGGCGCAGAGTGCGGCCGCGCGGGTGGTAATGGGAGCGACATGGCGCTCCCATGTAACACCTCTCCTGCGCGAGCTGCACTGGCTCCCGGTGGTCTTCCGGGTGCGCTTCAAGGTTTTGGTTACCACCTTTAAAGCGCTCCATGGCTTAGGGCCTGGTTATTTACGGGACCGCCTACTACCACCAATAGCCTCCCACCGGCCAGTACGCTCTCATAGAGAGGGACTCCTCCGGGTGCCGTCAGCCAAACAGTGTCGACTGGCGGCCCCTAGGGGGAGAGCCTTCTCTGTGGGGGCACCTACCATCTGGAATGAGCTCCCCCCGGAGATACGGAGGATCCCGGATCTGCGCTCCTTCCGCCGTGCTGTGAAGACCTTTTTATTCCATCAAGCGGGCTTGGCCTGATCTCTTCCCTTTTTAAATATGTAAATTTTAATCTGTTTTTAAATTATTGGGGTATTTTAATTTGTCTGGGCCAAAAAGTTTAATTTGATTTTATCGGGTTTTTAAATTTTGTGTATTTATGTATTTTATTGTTGGCTGTTCACCGCCCTGAGTCCTTCGGGAGTAGGGCGGTATACAAATCAAATAAATAAAATAAATAAATAAATGATTGTAAAAATGAAATGAATAATAATTAGAATATTTGTCTTTGTATTTTTGAAATCTAGACAATGATAAGTTTTTGTTTTTTTATTTTTTTTAGAAATATGAATAGGTATAAACTAACAATTGAAATACCTTTAATGGTATATGGTGGTGAAAGTAAAAAGGATTAAGTTGTAGCTTGGATAACAGCTAAAACATTTTTAAATTTAATTAGGAAAATTGTAACGATTGAAATATTTTTAATTATATATTGTGATGAAAGTAGAAATGATTAAATTGTGATTTGGAGGATTATATGGGCAAAACTATTTGGGTTATTGGGAGAGTTTAAGGTGTGAAAATGAGTAACATAAGGGGAAAGCTCTATTTAACTAGGGAATTGTAATAATTGAGATACTATTAATTATATATTGTGTTGAAAGCAGAAATGGTTAAGTTTTGGTTTGGACGAATATATGGGGAAAATTATTCAGTTTATTATTATTAGTAAATATAATTGATTTGTAAGAAATTGGATTGCATAGAAATAATTGGAATATTCATGTTCATATTGATTAATATACAAAAAAGATAGTTATATAACTAATTGATTTATATTAAAATGTTGAATTTGTATTAAACAATTGTAATATTACATAATTAACCAATGTGAGGATGGATATAAAAATAGGTGACAATGGAAAGGGGTATAATATATAGAATAGAAGGGAAAAATTTAATTTGATTAAGATTAAAGATGAGGATGAAGGGTAATATTAGTTTAAAAAAAAATAGATAAGGAATAAATGTGGCAAAAAAGAAATATTAGAAATTGTAAATTTAATTGAAATGACTAAACACTGTTTAAATTTGTGAACCGGCCAAATACTCTGTTCAAAGAAAATACATTGTATGTTTGTATGTGTATTTGTTTAAAAAATAAAAAAAAACTTTATAAAAAAATAAAAAAACAAAAAAGGTAGGTGCGTCTTATACTCTGAAAAATACGGTATTCTGATTTCAAATTGAATGCCTATGACCGGGGCAATTATGTAAACATGGCTTTAATAAAAGTAAAACAAAACAAAAAATACATTGTGTCAAAATGCAACTCAAAATAATTGCTTTCATTACATTAGAAACGAGATCAAAATAGATTTACCATGCAACAAACACTATAGTAGTGAACAACCACCATGCTAACCCATTGCTGATATACATATGTACATATACATACATGTACATGTATGTACATGTACATTGGGGAGATGTCTGGAGGTTCACATGTATGTTCATAAATCTTCCTTCTTAGAATTATTTGTGGACAAACTGTGAAGTGCCAGGGAAATCAGGATATCCAGACAGTTCAAATACAGATTTATTGCAAGCTTAAACTCTCTACAAGAATCTGTACTACTAAAGGTCCAAGCAAATTGGCAGTAGATAAAAGTCATGGGAATTCAGGGTAGGCTGGACTTAGATCTCTTGTGGGCATTAAGGGACTAATGACATGTCAAGCCCATCTTGATCATCTCCTACTACACAAACAGTCCATGAAGCTTCCTTTAGCCACAGCCAGTTTAGAACAACATGGTGTGTTGCTTTAATTGTGAAATATTGCCATAATAAATAACGACGACAAAAATAGCCATCATCCAGAGGAGAGCAATAGGAATAAATTAGAAACCCTTCCAACTATACAATTCTAGGATATTACACTGATTTTATGATCAATTAGCTAGTACTGCATTTGTGTGGTCAAGAGTAGCACTTCCATTTTCTTGCTTTAAAAAGTAGACAACTGCAGTGTAGATGATTTCTCCTAAAATACTCACATTTTCATAGCTTTTTCTGTATTTCTATTGCAACAGTCCAGCTTGATAACAACCTCTGTCTTTTTGTGAAATGTTTCATTGTATTCTTCTTTGATGAGTTCACTAGAAAACAGCAATTGAAGCTATAAACATAGAGATGAAAGCATCATGAACTGTTTTTTTTTTGGTCTAATGGAAAAATTAAAATGCATATCACCAGTCTCCAGAGAAGAGAATAAGGAATGAAAAGAATACAACAAAGACGAAGTGACCTGGGTCATCTAGTATAATCTCCTGCTCAGTGAGATTGGAGCTAAAGGGAAGTCTGATTGTTGTATAACATCTCCATTGTAGTATTCTATTAACTACTCTTAAATTTTATTACTTAAACACAATATCAGGACATTAATTTGTATATTCATCTTGAATTTCCTTTTAGTTTTAGTTGCTGAATTGAAACAACCCTAGGTTCAAGAGAGAACAAGTCTATTACTTTTCATACATGACACATATTTGGATTTTTGCAGACTGCTGTACTCCTGTCTTAAGTCTTCATGCCATGCAATAAGAGGACTGTGAATTGTGAACACTGCAGTATACTATCATTGACAATTTAAGCCATTATATTCCTCGTTATATTCCTTCTCTGGTCTTCAAATACAACAATTTATCAGAACAAACATTCCTTCAGTTTTTTCAACCTGCCCCAAAAAGAAATGTGAAAGATATTTATTTTTGACTTGCCAAATTTTAATATACTAAAGTAATTAATAAACTCCAGTACCATTGATGTAATTAAGAACATTAAAATTGAAACTATTAAATATTGTGCAAGAATCATTATACTGCATCCACATTATGTCAACTATTTTGACATTAAATAACGATTTAACTATGACTATTTTGATATTTTATATTGTGATATAAAGATTTTTTTATTTTATTTTAAAGGCTACATCAGTTATGAAGAGGAATATTTGAGACTGTGAATGGAGCCAAAGTCCCACATTCCTTCCTTTATGCACATGCATAGAAGCTATCAAAGAAGCCCCTTCTTCAATTCTGCAGGAAGCTAAAGAACTAATTCTTGGGGAGCTTTCACTTAAAATCCCTTCACATGCCTTGAGAAGAAATCTCCTGATTAAACAATTTTATTTTCCTTCATCTTTCTCATTAGGAGTAGAAAAAAAGGATGCATTTTGCTTTGAATCTAGAACTTAACAATGGGTTGAAAGAAATATGCTCAGAGTTGAATGTTTAACATCTAGGCTTTATAAACTATAGAATCTGATATTATTATTAGCAGGTACTTGATTCGTTTGTTTCCTTTCATCAGGAAAATTTAATTCAATATAAATACCACCTAATTTGCATGAAGTAGTATCTTCCAATTATTGCACGATTGCTTACAACTAGATAAATAGTGCACATAATTCTTTATTACAATATTTCTATATCTTCCAAAGTGTTTATGACTCAGTTGATTATATAACAGCAATAGCACATAGACTTATATACCATTTCACAGTGCTTTACTGCCTTCTCTAAGCAATTTACCCCCAACAATCTGGGTCCTCATTTTACCAACCTCGGAAGGATGGAAGGCTTAGTCATCCTTGAGCCGATGAGAATCGAACTGCCAAACTGGCAGCCGGCAGTCAGCAGAAATAGCCTGCAATACTGCATTCTAACCATTGCTCTATATAATCATAAAATATAATCAAATAGAATAGAATAGAATAAAACAGAACCCTTAGGCAGGGTTGACAGAACCACTGTCAAACCCTATAGAATATGAGAACAGAGTTTTCACAGCTTTGCAAAATGCCTGCAAGGTGAGGGCTCTCCTTGTTTCAGAAAGTAATTTGGGCCCCCATTCCCTTATACTCTGGTTGGGTAGGGATCCAAAACAGCTTTTTGAGGGACGTATAAATGTACAGAGCATCCTGATTTTGAAACAGAACGATCATCTTGTAAGTACATGGGCACTACATCATATAGCCGTGATGGCGAACCTGTGGCATGCAGCACCCTCTCTGATGGCACACAAGCCTCACCCCAGTTCAGCTCTGCCGCACATACACATGCACCTCTCACCAGCCAGCTGGTCTTTGGGTCTCTGCCGCACATGCGCAGGGTCCCTGCAGGGTGCCGCGCATGCATGGTGGGGGGCGGGCCATGTGTGCGGATGCATGCACGTGGGTGTGTGCGGAGTGTGGGGCGCATGTGCGGGGGCCATGCACGTGCACATTCGCACACACACACACTTTGGACACTCGATCCGGAAAAGGTTAGCCATCACTGTCATATAGTCTGTAGCAATTAAAGTAAGCATTTTGAAATGGGCTACTGGCTTCACCAGGGTTTCACAGTCATGGAAAAACACACATTTAATATTTATTTATTTATTTATTTGAATGTATTTATTTGAATTTATTAACCGCCAATGGACTCTTCCCATACCTCCAACTCTTACTTAATTATCCAGAGTCAGAGCTGTTACCTGCAGGAATGACAATGAGAAAGCTGATCAATAGCATCACTCACATTAGCCATCTGATTCCTTTTCGCATGAGCTCTTGATAAAGCAGTAAGGCTCGGGCAATTCTACAGGCATAACATACAACCCCCGTTACTGCCTATAAGGAACAAATAAAATGCATTAGTTAATAAATTGCTACAGTAATTTTATTAACAGAAATTTGATATTTAGATGAAATCATATCATGAGGCAAATGGGAATATAATCCACTAAACCTAATACCAAGCAAAAATAAAGATAAATTATGTTTCTGTATTAGGTTAGAAAGTTGCAATGCAAGCTCTGGAAAAAGCAAAAAGTAGACATAACTTGAAGACTGTGTACTATATTACTGAGTGATGATAGATCAAAGAAGTTCAGATTAAAGTATAAAGACAAGCAATTTCTTATTATATCATTGTTAAAGCAACACTATTAAAATTACTACTTATGCAATATTATCTGGATTTAATACCATTAATTTATTTCACTCCTACACATCTTTTATGTTGCTGTTCTTAATGTTTGTTCCACTTAGTTGCAAGATCTGCTTGCTTTGCATTGCACTCACCTAGTTCTTAAGAGTGAAGCTTTTTAAAAGCATGATTCAGCAGGAACTTTAGTTTCTCACACTGGTAAAGGCTGAGAAGGAATGACTGCTCCCCAATGACCCAACTGTGTTTCTTGCCTAAGGAAGAACTAGAACCTGGATCTTCCCATTACTAGCCCAGCACCGTAACACTACACTGGCTTTGAAGTATTCATTCTTATATACATGTAATTATAATTAACTGAGATACTCACTTTTGCCATACTTACATCGCTATCCAAGTCATAACGTTGATGAACCTTAGGAAGCAAAACTGCAATAGAACAGAAGGTTTAAAAAGAAAATTAAAAATTACACAAAATCATAATTAAAAAAAAAGAAAAAACCCAGAACATATTCTTGAGATGTGAGAAAATGGCAACTATTATAAAAATTACCAGAGTGTGATTTTGGGAAAGAACAAATTCATTGTAAATAGAATATATTTTTCTAACTAATTCTCTTATAACTATGCAATTTGTTAAAGAAAATCATATGGTGAAAAGCCTTTTCCACTAGAACCATTTCTTTGCCAATAGAAATGTCATTATTATTGTTGTTGTTTTGTTGTTGTTATTTCTACATTATTTATAAAGTTCATTTACATTCTATTAAGTAATACTGTTACATTTCAAATTGAGTGTGTGGCAGGGAGTTGCCATTGTATCCGTCAATATTTGTAAGATGGCAAGTACAGTGTCACAAAGCATGTGCCATCCCTTTTTGTATATATGTGCAACAAATAATTGAGATACTAAGGAATGACGCTTGGATCACAAGATAGCACTTACCCTCTTGCCATTTTGATCACTAATAATACCCCCTTTGCTTATTTTATGTAATTTCTGCTTTCTTACTGTAATATTTTGCTATATTTTCAGAACTGTTTATTTTTTATTTTGAAAATTCTTTGAATTATACCAAAAAGCAAAATAAATATTAAGAATCCTTTTTGAAATGTATGAAGATCTGGCTATTAAGAATACATTGGGGCAATAACTTTGAGGGATATAACACAGTAAATGTCTTGTTTTATTATTATTTAAAAATAATAATTGCTACAGTCATATAAAAATAGTATAGCTTTTAAAAGCTACAAATTTAATATAACTAAAAATATTTTAATGCTTAAGTTTTAATAAAAAAAATAATGATTCCATCATACTTTCTTCATAGAGTAATCCTATGACGTTTACAGCTTCTCTGCTTTCTACAATTATAGGATTTTCCTCTGTGGTTTTAGGGAAAGCTTGTGCCAGTCTGCTAGGTTCTAGTACTAAACGCCGTCCTTCATATATCAATTCTTGATTGTGTGAAGGTATTTTTGTCTGTTTGTAGACAAGTTCATTAAATATGGTAACACTGTTAAAAGAAGAAAAAAAAACATGTAAGAAAGAACTCCCAATGCATTAAAATAGCCAGAGGTAAGAAGGGGAGGGGGGGAAGGGGGGGAATCTATTTAAAGGCAAACAGATCATAGATCTAGTTGTTGACTTATGAAAATAAAATTATAGAAATACTTACTTATTATGATTGTGAATATAAATTTTGTGTGCAGTCATTTGTTGAAGAGAGAAGACATGAATAATTATCCGATGCAGTATGTCACTTGTCTCTGCAAAAAACTGATCAAATCCCCAACACTTTTCTTGATCTGCTTCAAGAATATTTGCAAGGACAGGTGTAAGCAGTACCTGCAATCCCCTAGAACGTTACATAGAAAACAAATATTACATTGGATAATGTATTTTTATTATACAAGTGGTCTTTGATTTATGACAATTGAAGCCAAAATTTGTTATTCAGCAAGACAGTTAAGTAAATTTCCCGCTATTTACAAGCTTTCTTGCTATAGTTGTTAAATGAATTACTGCAGTTGGTAAGTTAGTAACACAGGTATTAAGTGAATCTGGCTTTCCCACTTACTTATCAGAGGGTGCAAAAGGTGATCACATGACCTCGGGACACTGCAACTGTCATAAATACATGTAAATTGCCAAGTGTCCAAATTTTGCACGAGTCTTAAGTGTGAAAAGCAGTCTTAAGTGTGAAAAACAGTCATAAGTCACTTTTTTCAGTGCCACTGTAACTTTGAACAATCACTAAATGAATGGTTGGAAGTCAAAGACTACTACAAGGTAAAAGTAGCTGGGATGCACTTTAGTTAGAAAGGTAAAAGTGATTCTAATTGGTGAAGACTGCAGATATCTTTCATGGAAATAGGGCAACTCTCTATCCAATAGCTCATCATTCCTTGCAAGAAGGTAGCTGGCAGATTATGTATTCTGCACTATGAAACACTACTCCTATGTACATAATATATTCCTAAAGCACAACAAAGGAAAAAGATAATGAATGTTATCATTGTAGTGGCACTTACTTTAAAGTAAATTAAAATTATAACATTTTAGTAAAATTTAGTAAATTAGTAAAACTGTGCTAATCTCATAGTATATTTTATTAATTCAGTGTTGCTTCATTTGGTTAATGAGTGACCAAATTAGGATGCGAGTTTGCATATTATAATTTATGTTGATAAAAAATTATGCAATGCATGCTGTCTGGCCTGGTCAAAAGAATGGGTGAGCCTCCAGAATAAGAAGTTACTTGAATTAGACAGCCATGAATTAAGGTTTGGATGTCACGGCTACTTATGGGTATGATAAAAGTAAAGTTAACGTTGATTTTAATCTATTTGTTAGATGAGTCATATTAAGAGTTTGGAATAAATATAAAACAAGGCTCTATACGAAGTTGCCTCTTTGGGTGGCACCCCAGGAAGCTTTCTTTAGAAAAAAAATGGTGGCAATTATCTTTCAACTCTGGTGACCCAGTATTAAAGCTGACAGAAGAACTTGAATCAGAAGGTTATGCTTGCCATTGGTTTATTTATCAACAACTGAAAGATTTAAACTGGATAAAAAGTGCTATGGATTTGACTTTGTTAAAAATGAATTGGAAACTTTACTACGTGGAAATGATGAACATATTATTGTTAAGATTTATAAAATGTCATTGAACATGTAAAACATTGCATGATTCAGTGGGCAAGGAATTTTGGATTTAATGTGGTGCTTGAACAATGGGAAAATATGTGGACGAAGGGTTTAAAATTTACATTAAATTATAAACTAAAAAACTTGTATAAGATATATTGGAATATGATTCACACACCCACACAGAGGGAGGGAGAGAGGGAGGGAGGGAGGGAGGGGGAGAGAGAGAGAGAGAGGGAGGGAGGGAGGGAGAATGAATTTTGAAAATGAAGATAAAGATGAAATTTTCCCTTTTGGGCCCAATGGAAAAAGACCTGGAGAAAAAAATTGGAACTTTGTTACTATGTATCAGTGATGGCTAACCTGTTCCAGACGGAGTGGCCAAAAGCGTGCGTGCAAATGTGTGCATGCATGTCCGAACCCCAAAAATGCAATGCGTGCTTGCCCCTGTGATTCGACCCTCCAAGCCACACGCCCCCGTGCATGTGCGTGCGACCCCCCCACAGGCCCCCTGAATGCGCGCATGACCCCCCACACACATCCCCCATGCATGCACGGCAGAGACCCGACGACCAGCTGGCTGGCATGTGGCTGTGCATGGCAGAGATCAACTGGGGCAATGGCCCGCATGCCCACAGAGAGGGTGCTGTGTGCCACCTATGGCACGTGTGCCATAGGTTCGCCATCACGTCTATATATGTTGACAGCAGCAAGACTATTGTATGCACAAAAATGGAAGGAATCTGCCAGGATGCAATTACTCGCCCCTGCAAGCTTTGGTGGGTTTTTCTCAAGGCTTTTGGTAAGAAGAACGGAGGCCGGGAGCAGTGCACATGCACTGCCCAGCATCCGTTCTTTGCGCCAAAAGCTTTTTGCGGGCAAAGCTTGCAGACAAAGAAACCGGGGCTGGAGTGGCCACAGCTCGCTAAATCTTTCCAAGGTGAGTGAGTCTCCACAGGCCCAGTGCCTGGGGAGATCTGGCGAGGTGGGGAGAATAGGCAGGGCGAATGTTGCAGTGCCTCTGTGGTCATTCGTAAGGGAGAACTACTGCCATGGTGTTGCAATATTTGTAATCTTTGGACTGTGTCATAATTACTTGGGGGGGGAGGGTTGATATCATAACTTCAGAGTGAGCTATTGCTAACCTGTACCATGGTTTATCTACTTTCAGGCAGAAGTAATCTAAATCTGAGAGTTCTACTCAAATGCTCAGAAAGTATGTCTGGAATTGTGAGAATATAAATTGCAATACTAAATATAAATTAATAAAATATTGTCATGCAAAGACTTTTTATGTTCAAGCAATACAAATGAAGAGGGATTAAGTGCTACTGCAAACTAGAAATTTCTTTTCCACCTATAACTCAGAAATGCAGATTACTGTAAGATTCTCAGTCATTTTAAGCCCTGTGCATTATCAATTCCCCAAATTACTAAAATCACACAATAATTTTTTTCATATTCACATGACATCTTATGAGACATGGGAATCAACTAAATTATATAAGCAAATCAATGACAAAACATACTTAGAAAGACTACAGGAAATAGGCATATCACGACTCCATTCAATGGGACCATTTTCTGCTTTCTGTACTCCAGATATTGCACCAGAAGGTTTTCCAGTTATAATTTTATACCTTTGAAATATAAGAAATACCATAATCAGCAAACATACTATAATAAAACCATGTAATAGTAATGTGAATCACAAAGCAACCTTAGGCAGCTTTCTAGTTCAGAACTAATTACATTTGTAAAGAAGTGGCATTTTAACTGTTATTGAAACATTTACCAACAGGAATACCAGGAAACTTTAACTCTATAAAGTTTGGAGCCATTAAAAATTTGAATAAAGTGTTTTTCTTGAAAGTTAAAAAAGTTTTAAAAACTTAATTTTTTCAATAGATTTATATATAGATAGTGAAACAAGTATCTATGAGACATTACAAAGCAATAATGTTTCTATAGTGGATTATAGCCAGTAAGGATAGAACTTTTTCTATTTATAATATGCACAGAGATCCATTAAAAGGAAGGGAAGAGGCAATCTCTGATTTCTTTTTCATCTGCAGCCCCACATCATTCCCTGTTCCATTCCAGACCTGATTCCTGATTTCCAAGAGGAACATGGGACAAAAAAATTGATGAAAATCAGATCCACTTTCTATTCTTGCAATGGAAACATTTTGTAAGTAGAATTTCATTTGCGAAAAGTGAGGATCCAACTCTGTGGACTTTATTTGTAATATAGGGACTGTTGTTTAGGGAACTGAGGGTGGCTGCCTTCAGGGTAGCATGCTGGTGGAGATTTACCAGTCGTTGGAGGGCTGTTTGCTGGACCATTTATTGAGAGCAATAAAGGACTCTCTAGAGTTTTGCCTTGTCTTGACCATCTGGATCATAACAATGAGTTGGGTTTTATAAGTATGTATAAAATAATAGCTATTAAATGTCTCTCATTTAAATATTACCTCCATCATTGGAAAAAACATACTGAGTCAAGATGAGTGGAACTCTTATTATTGAACTCATATTTAATACATAACCATTTGGTTAGCTACTGAAGAAAAATGATCACAGCAGTAACTCTTTTATGTTAATTGATTTTCTGCAAAAAATCTCTCTTCCTAGGCCAGCAATATTGCCATAACCAAAATGTCTTTCCGTCGCATATTTCTGGAATTGACCATTATATTTATCCCAAATTGCTTCTTATGCCACCCAAAACATGTTATAATATTGTCTTTGGAAGTGAGATATGTCCTATGTGTTATCAACTATCTAATATTTAGAAATAAACAGAAGAACTGAGCTTTATAAATATACCAAATTAAGTCTGCCTTCAACACAATTTAAAAAACATCATTTCTACATATCTAAATGCAATACTTCCTATGTTTAGCCATGTAAAAATTTGTTACACATCTGAGAAAGAAAAATAAACTGTAAAGCAAATAATATTGTAAGAATACAAGAATGTAACAGAATCCCCAAACTGTTTCTAGAAATTGTCTATTTTTTTTTCCAAATTTTATGTACAGTTTAGTTGGCGGTGACAGAACATTTCCTCTGAATTACCTACATCACTTCCTTATTTCTGCGTGGACCTTCAAAAGGTCGAAATGGTAGACTTCCAGTTGCAGCATGATAAAAGGTCACTCCAATGCTCCATAAGTCAACTGTTGCTCCATACTTCTTTTGGTGGTCCTTCCGCAATACTGCTCGCTCATACATGTCAGGATGCTCAGGTGCAAAGAGGGAAACAATACACGTCATAAAAACCCTATGGTTATATTATAGAGAGCATCAGAGACCATAGGTTTCTATATACTACTTTCTGTAAAACAAGAGTATAGGGTTCTATGGGTGAAATTCTTCAGGTTTGAGTATTTTATTTCACAAAAATGAGCTAGTGGCAGAATACAAATTAAATAAAGTAAACAATATTTGCCATAAACAGAAGCTACTGATTCTTATATAAATTACCAACTTACCCTGACAGAAGTTTTCTGTACCAAAACAAACTCTAATATGAAAAAAGTTAACAGTGTATATCTTTAGCAGCAGTTATCTTGTCAAAAGGAAGAATAATTAAAACAAATTTGGTCACATTAATTTTTAATCTTCTTCTCTACATAAATGAAATGAGGGAGATGTTTTTAATGGGATACCTTTTTTGTAGAATGCTTGGCAGGCTTGTTTGGAGATTCAATTGTGATAATTTTTGCATAAAGTAATTTTTTGATTGACCTGTGGATTCTAAAATATGATACTCAGGATGTGTGATTTGATCCTGGACTTTTAAAAACTGATGTATAATTTGGTTTGCTTGTTGTCTGTGAATCAGCCATTATAGCATAGTATTATTTCAAACCGATAATTATAGTTTGTTTAATAAACTAAAACTTGTTTAATGAATTAAAATTTCTACTTAGGAGTCATTAAGCAAAAGAAAAAACATTTGAGCTTACCAAATATTCTTCTGTTCCATAGAGAGAGACAAACTGTTCATCATCATCCAACTCTCTAGCAGCCCCAAAATCTGTTAGTTTATAAACTGATTGACCATCTTCACCTATAACACGCATTATATTGCCTGGTTTGATGTCACGATGCACTATTCCATTTTCTCGAAGATGGTTCATACCAGCCACTTAAATATAAACAATAAATTTTAAAAGATGTGTGTGGATTGCAAAATTATGTAATTTGATAAGAAAAATGGTGCCATATTAGGATACTTGCATCTTATTTTCAATTATTTTATTTCAACATGAATTAATAAATGCCAAGAAGGAATTAATTATGCTGGTTCGAATCTCTCCAAGGCTCAAGGTTGACTCAGCCTTCCATCCTTTCTAAGGTAGGTGAAATGAGGACCCAGTTTGTGGGGGCAATAAGCTGACTTTGTATAAAATATACAAAAGAATGAAGGCTATTGCTTAACGCATTGTAAGCCGCCCTGAGTCTCCGGAGAAGGGCGGCATATAAATCAAATTTTAAAAAAAAGAAAAAAAGAAAAAAAATTATATACAAAAACTTTGGTTCTGCTAGAGATTATAGCTAGCAAACTTGGGTTGCAAGACTTCTATATATGATAAATATACAGTACCACCATTTTAATAATAAAATGGAAAATAAAGAGAGCATATACAAATTAAATCAAGTTTTATAAACATCAAAACAACTTCAGCAGGTTTTCAAAGCAGAGAATTTCAAATCTATATATTTTCAGAGTGGTCTTTCTCTCTTTTATGGTATCCTGAAAGTATCTTTTTTGGAGGGGAAGGTACCTTGAGTCAGTATTGGCTCCTGGTGACTGCCTGGACAAATCCTACAGTTTTCTTGGTGAGTTTTTAATGGAAGTGGTTTGTCACTGCCTGCCTCTAGGGTTGAGAGAAAGTCATCCAAGTGGCTTTCGGCCAAAGGTAGGAGTAGAACTTACGGTCTCCTATTTTCTATCCCAGAACATTAATCACTAAACAAACTGGCTTTCAAATGTACTTCTAGTGCTGTATAAACAGCAAATCCTTCCAATCAATTTTATGGAACAGTAATCTCTGCTGAGCTGATTAAGCTTTTAAGATCAGCAGTCTGATTTGGGCCCAGAATAATAACATGAAATTCCAACAGCAGCAAAATTCCTTTCATTTATTTGCCACATTTTGGGCTAGCTAGTATTTTTAGTCCATTCTTTGAAATGTAGTTCCAAATAGCATTCATTCTATTTAAATATATATAGCCTGGATATAACTGAGATATGTGTCACCCTCTCTGCATGTGGGAACATGTTCTTTGTAGTTTTACATATTAGAGATAAATTCCTGTTACATAGCTTGGAATATGTGTGCCTACTGCAGTTAAAAGAAACTATACCCATATTGTTATTTTACAAATCAAACACATTCTAATTAAGTTAAGTAGATGAATATTGAATGCCAAAAAAAAAATCATACACTAAACTATACAGTGTTTTAAAACTTTAGGTTCTTAGGTGTTATTGACCATAAATCCCAAAATGAAAATAATAATCAAAAGAATACTTGGGGCTAAAAGTTGGAATAAGTGCAATAAACATATATCTAATGATATAACCGTCACATACCAACATCTCTCAATACAATTAAAAATTCTGTTTCTGGCAATCCATAAGCATTAGACGGCTCTTCCAAAACTGTATATAAACTGCCACATGGACAAAATTCCATAACAAGGACTTTATGTCTAGAGGTTGTCTAGGGAAAAAAAAGTTTTAATTTATATTAAAGACTTTACAAAATCAGAAATACAGTGAAGTATAAATTATGCTTTAGATTAATGAGCTAACTTATGACCAAATCTATTAGAAGGACTTGTTTAATGATATAATTATGAATTGAAATGTAATTAATTTGATCATGCAATTCTGCACAAATCAGAAAAGGCTGCATATTCTGGGTTTGGATTCGGAGTTAAACACTACAAAACCAATTTTCTCTTGGGCTCTCTAGCTCCTTTTGTTCTTTTGAAGTTGAGAAGCTTTTGTTTTTATTTCATCTTAATGATAGCCTATCATGTTGTTTGAATCCAAACAAATTATTATTGTACTTAAATATGATTAATGGGAGCAAGTCAATGTAAAAACTTTTCCTTTCTTTAAGCAAAATTAAGATCAACCAGTTTAGGGATTGTGAAAGATGCATTAATCTATAGACAATGTAAAGTATTCACACATTTTCTAATTTCTTTCTTGTGGGCATTCCATAAGAGGAAGCAGGAAGATTAAGTTCATTTTCATAATATTACCATTATTATATTTCAACGTCCTTATGAAGCTCAGAATAAAATTAAGAAAGTGACATATATTGAAATCTAAATACCAAATGCAAAACATTAATTGCTTCTCAGTAAAATATATCACTACATAATTACCTCTTCTTCTATGGCAAATAATTTGACGATGTTCTTGTGATTTAGTTTCTTTAACACTTCAAACTCCCTCATCTGAACATCCACAGGACGAAGGAAGCTAAAGTTATTAAATACTTTGACAGCATACAAGTCTCCAGTTTTCTGTAAGAAACATTAGGTTCATTTAGAAAAAGGCCAGAATCAGTCAAATGATCATCTCTGAAAAATGGACGTTCCTGTCCATTTAAATTGTAATATTAATGACATTTTAAAAAACATTTCATGGAATATTTATCTGACAAAAGCTACAATATCTCTGTTATTAAGACCCATCTACCTTACAACTAGTAAGTAAGATGATAAATGCCATTCAATATGAGAAATTAAGAAAAGATGTTGAACCTAGGCAAAAATCTTTTCAGCTAACAGAATTGTATTTTTATACAAACCTTGTGTCGTCCACGGAAAACATTCGCAGTAGCTCCTTGTCCCAGGATGTCTGATAGAAGCCACAGATAATTTGAAGTACTCTGCATATTTGCTCCCAAATAGTAAAATCTTATTGGGATTGAAAAACAAAACATAACTTCATGAATTAAGTTGCCAATATGTCCAAGACAATGTATGAACTATTCTTATTTTAGATCTATAGCAAATATTCCTCTAAGGTAATTTTAACTGACTTCAGAAATAGCTTTTCTCCTGTTCATAGAAAAATACAAACACTTAATAATTCTAGCTTAAACCAATTGCTGTAAGGGTATTTACCTTTTTTTATTAAAAACTGCAGACTAAAAAAGCATAAACTTATTGTATGGGTATGAATAAATACCTTATTTTCTAAATAGCATGCTGCTAGGACCAGGTACTGTATATCTCAACAGACACTCATATTTAAAGTATTTAGCCATCACAAAATTCCCCTGAACTGAGCTTGACTCCTACTGATGACATGCAACAATACAAATGACTGCTTTGTCATTGCGTGTTTTCAGGATGTCCTTTGAATTACCCAATCTACTGTACTTTACAACCATAGTTTCTTTCTCCCATTCAAATACTAACCTGATCTAAATCTGCTTAGCTTTCTCAAGATCACTTTCTCAAGGTGCTGCAACCTGCTGTTACCAAAAATTTATACCTTTATGGAGTTAACATAGACATGCTTTTTTCAAGCATAGGAATAATTACCAATGCTATACAATAATCTGCATCTGCTGACTTCTCTACTTAATTAATTAAACATCTTAATACAGTTATGGGTTAAAATTGTTATTAACAACAATTTTAAACTTGAATTAAAGATAGTAAAAGCAGATGTATCATTTTACCATGTCTTCAATCTATGTATATATAATTACAACCTACTCACACACACACACAAATTATATTGTATAAATGCTGCTTAAAACAGACAAGAAACACAACTTTAACGATATCAGTAAAGAAATTATGTTCTTTGCAGAACACCTAGTATTCTCAAATTTGTTAAGATGGATGTATATTATGCAGCTGCATTAAATGGAGAAAATTTGCAAAATTTAAGATTTTTCATTTGAGGCCTGATAAGAGTAGAGAAAGGAGAGCTACTTGTCGGCTTACTTTTTGTTTGAAAACTTACATTGCAATTTGTTTTGGCAAAGTTCTATGTCAAGGAGTTCATAAAAATAGTTACAGTATCACAAATTATATTGCCTGCTTTCTAAAATCAATACTCTACAAAAAATTAGTTTGTTACTGAGTGCTAGATTCTTATTGTTTTATAATTCTTAAGAAATGTTATGAGTAAAGAAAATTACAAGATAAAGGACTCCCACTGGAAAAATACTTCTTTCTGATTTATATTAAATAAGCACATTAACAATAAAGTTACATTCACAGCATGGTTATCTAGATAGGCACAAAGCAGACAAAGTGATGATGTGCAGCCGACATAATGATGTATCATCACTTGTTCCATGTTATCTGCTAAGGGTAGGTTGGGACTGAATTTTAATTGTTAAAAAACTTGACTTCTTTCCTAAGAAAGTTTTTTCCCCCCAATTAACATTCAACCTGATAACTGTATTCAAAGCACTATAATTACATCTATTAAATTCAATGAAAAGTCCTGTTTTCTTTTCACTGAATTGAATATTCCTCCATCCACACACACACAAAAAGTAGTTTAGACTAGTGGTTCTCAACTTCCAGTTTGCATACCCTTGGGGGTCCATAATGTCAACATCGGAGGTCTGCAAAGGCTTGAAGAAATATTACGATTTAAATCTTGAGTTAAGTCTTGGGGATCCAAGACTTAACATATTTAAGGGGGGGGGGCATGGTGCTGAAAAGGTTGAGAACCACTGGTTTAGATAGAAACATATTCCTATGTATATATTTACTTATTTAATTTCTACACTACCCATATTACCTACTCTGTTTCAGTTTCTGAGCAAATTGGCTTTTCCCAAAGGTGGTTTCACAATGCACTTTTTAGTAAAAAGAAGCACAGAAATTTGTGACACAATAAAAATGTGATCCTTTACATATTTCTGAGCAATATTTCTTTATTTTGGTGTTGTCATAGTTTGGAAGAGACCCCTCCTAGCCTGAATTGAATCCAGAAACAGCATTCACATTAAGGACAAGGCAGCCAATTTGGCTACATTTTGGCAATATGTTGCAAGCATAACCAAGCCCCAGTTTATACCAGGTATGCTTCTGCTATTCTATGCAAGGTATGGATTCTAATCTAGAGGATACCTTGCAAGTCAACAAGCTATTGAACACATACTACCAAGTTAAAGTATGAGTAGTATACTGAAACATATTCAATAAATCAAACAGTTTTAATGGAAGGGGGGGGGAAGCATGGACATGGTAAAAGGGGATAAAACAAGGAACCTCCAGGAGGAGGAATAAAAGTGACAAAATTATTTAGGATTTGTATGGAAGTGATAGTTATTTTTCAATCAAAGAATGAAACTGAAAGTGTTACCCTAATGACAAAGAAAAAAATGAAGAAAAGTCATTCAACTTGTGAGAATGTTCAAAATAGTAAAGTTGAAGTGTTGACAGTATACCTGGAGAATCTGTAAAATATGGGTGTGCCAATTGTTTAATGTGTGCTGTGCAGAGATTCCACCTGTACTTAACCACTGGGAAAATGCCATCAGTTTTCTATGTAAAGAAAAAATAAAGTTGGCTTTGGAAAATATTTGGAAGAATTATTTCTTTATATTGAAAATACATGAGGTGATAATGAGCAAATTTGGGAAATGTAGTGCAACTTTATGCTATAAAGGTTTTACAAACGTTTTTGCTTTTCAGCATCTTATGAATATGAGAAATAAAGTTTATTATATGCGTCTTGATTTAGAGAAGCATACAATAAATTGAATGCATCCAAATTATTTATTTTATTTATTTATTTTATTGGATTTCTATACCGCCCTATTCCCGAAGGACTCAGGGCGGTGATCAGCCTCAGAATAAAACACATAAATACAAAAATTTAAAATAGAATAAAAACGAATTAAATAATTTGGTTGAACAAATTTAAAATACCCCATAATTTAAAAACAAATTAAAATTTACATTCAAAAAGGGGAGAAGATTTAAGCCAGGCCAGCTTGATGAAATAAAAAAGTCTTAAGCGCGCAACGGAAGGTGCGCAGATCCGGAAACCTCCGTATCTCCGGGAGGAGCTCGTTCCAGATTGTAGGTACCCCCACAGAGAAGGCTCTCCCCCTAGGGGCCGCCAGTCGACATTGTTTGGCCAATGGCACCCGGAGGAGCCCCTCTCTATGGGAGCGTATTGGCCGGTGGGAGGCTATTGGTGGTAGCAGGCGGTCCCGTAGATAACCAGGTCCTAAGCCATGGAGCGCTTTAAAGGTGATAACCAAAACCTTGAAGCGTACTCGGAAGACCATCAGGAGCCAGTGCAGCTCACGCAGGAGAGGTGTTACATGGGAACTCTACGTCGCTCCCATAACCACCCGCGCGGCCGCACTCTGCGCCAGTTGGAGCCTCCGAGTGCACCTCAAGGGGAGTCCCATGCAGAGAGTGTTACAATAGTCCAGACGAGAGGTGACGAGGGCATGAGTGACTGTGCGTAGGGAGTCCCAATCTAGAAAGGGACGCAACTGGCGGATCAGGCGAACCTGATGAAAAATCCTCCCGGTCACGGCCGTCAAGCGCTCTTCTAAAAACAGCCGTGAATCCAGGAGGATGCCCAAGTTGCGAGCCCTTTCCGTGGGGGCCAATGATTCACCCCCAATAGTCAGCGATGGCACCAGCTGACTATCTCGGGACGTCGGAAACCACAGCCACTCGGTCTTGGATGGGTTGAGCCTGAGCTCGTTTCTCTCTATCCAGATCTGTACGGCCTCCAGGCACTGGGACATCACTTCAAGGGCATTGCTGGGGTGGTCCGGGATGGAGATGTACAGCTGGGTGTCGTAAGTGTACTGATGGTACTTCACCCCGAAACCACGGATGATCTCGCCCAGCGGCTTTACATAAATGTTGAACAAAAGGGGCAAGAGGACCGATCCCTGCGGCACCCCACATATGAGGGGCCTCGGGGTCGACCTCTGCCCCCGTCAACACAGACTGTGACCGGTCAGAGAGAAAGGAGGAGAACCACCGTAGTACGGTGCCTCCCACCCCCAACTCTTCCAACCAGTGCAGCATGATACCATGGTCGATGGTATCAAAAGCCGCTGAGAGATCTAACAGGACCAGGACAGAGGAGCAATCCCTGTCCTGAGCCCTCCAGAGATCATCAACCAACGCGACAATTATGTAATGTAATGTAATGTTTTGTGCATAAATGGAATTTGATTGGTTGTTGAATGCAATACAGTAAAAGCAGATTATGATAGTAATGGCAGTGATTTATTAAATTTGTATGCTACCCATTCCTATAAGACTCAGAGCAGCTGATAAATAATTGATACCAAAATATTAGTAACACTATTAATAAATAATATAAAAGCAGTATAAATAGGGAAGCATGCATAATAATAAATGGAGCGCTTGGAAAATCATTCAACACTGAGCAGGAAACACAACAAGGAAGTCCGATATCCACTAAATTGCTTAATATTAAGATAAAAGTACAAAATGTTCTATAATGACCTAAGTCATGTGTTGCTTAGGGATGTGAATGTCTGTACACTTTTGTATGATGATGCCATGCTGTTGTCTGAGAAAAGTGAACATACACAGTAAATATTAGTGAAAGGATGTAAAGATGAAAATTAATATATCAAATGCTAATGTATTTACTTTATTCAATCAAACTTAGAGACCACTTTATACTCACAATACAGTTGTTTTTGATAATGAAAAGCTGATTGCAAACACAAATTATGTAAAACTAGAGGGAAATCTGGTAGAATTTGGTAGAATGTATGGAGAAAGTTTAAGATATGTAGACACTCATAGAAAGGAATCAGGTCTTTTAGGTTTTATTGTGAGACATGAGCATTTAAAGAAACAAAAATAGTTGAGTATAAAAACATGCTTCTCACTTTATTATACAGAAGCACAAATAGAGCATGTCAGATAAACGATGTAAGTTTAATGTAGTAGAAGGAGATATCTGTTACAGAGCAAGAAAATAGGATCATAGTTTATTGAATGTGGACTGAATGCAAAAGTGAGCGAGCAGTAGGAAGCAAGCAATATCAAATGGTTTGATCCAGTGGTTATCAATCTGTGATCCATGGACCACTGGTGGGTCATGATGTCATCACAGAGGGTCTGCGAAGGCTTGAAGAAATGTTGTAATTTAAATTTGAGTCAAGTCTTGGTGGTCCGTGGGCACTATAGGTATTAAAAGGGAGTCTGTGGTGAAGAAAAGGTTGAGAACCACTCAAGAGAATATTGAGAATGAATGAATGAATGAATGAATGAATGAATGAATGAAAACAAAATTGTAAAAAAATTATGATGTATGAAAAAATATGCTGTGAAGATTGGAGGAGTGAAGATTGAGAAGTTTGGAACCAGATGGAGTTTATGGGAACTTCACACAGAGAAATGAGAAGTTAAAAAACTAAGAGCAATATATAAATCAGCATGTGGACATGGTGAATAGCCTTCAATAGCCTTTGAATAGCCTTCAAAGATTGCAAAATATAGAAAGTAATGAATGGTTGTTGGTATATCCTAATTTTTTTTCTTTTTTCCTTCTCTTTTTTCCTGACTTAAATTGAAACCAGTCATTAAACAAAGACTACCTGTACCACAAACTGCTAAGTTTACAATCCATCTAGGGTCTCCAATCTTTCCGGCTTTGCAGACCAATGTGGGAGAGGGGGATGGTTCTGCATAAGCAACAGGTGCGCACGCAGCTCCATTTACAAAAGTAGTAGATGTAAATGCCCGCCACTTGCGCAAATGGAATGTCCCATGCAAGCGCCCACCACTCAAACAAATGGAACTGGGTGCACTCACCTGCTGCTTGCGTGGCCCAGTTCTGAACAGGCCACAGTCCAGTACTGGGGTAAGGCCTGGGGACCCCTGATCTAGTGCCATCCCAGAGAGATTTACTTAGAAGCTATCCTGGGGGAGCGAGGACATATCTAATTTTAATAGTATTTTCTATTAATTAAATATATTCTAGCAAATCATAGCAGAAACTTCATGTTCTCCATCTATGATTAGTCAAACTAGAATTGTTTCAGTTAATAACTTGAATTCTGTTATAAATTAAGTTGAAAAACTAATTACTATATAGTGTACATATCTTCTAAAAATGAAATCTATATCTATTATTAAGCCTGAATCCATATGCATTAAGGACAAGTTACACAACAAATGAATAACTTTCTAGAAAAGTAAAGAGGTATCATTAGTACCAACCAGTCTTAATTTTCAGAAGGGAGGCCAAACATATTCTTAGGAAAAGAATGTTAAGTGTTACTTCATATTTACAGCAGCACTGAAAATGTAGCTTTACAAACGGTCCTCAAACTTATAGCCACAGCAGCATCTCTGTAGTCATGTAATCAACTATTTGTGAGATTCATAACTAGCTTCCAAAAGTCAAAGTCAATAGACTTACTAGCAGTAAGTTGCAAGTTGTGGACATGTGATGTCTTGCTTAACAACTTTGGGTGATTTGCTTAATGACCATACAGGAACCAACACTAAGTTCAACACGGTCACATGTTGTTTCACTTAATGACCCCATAGCTCAGCAGAGTTGCCACTTCCAATTGTGGTTGTTAGGTGAAGACTATCTGGGAGTGAAGAAGTAAGGCAAGTACTTATTTTCCCCAAGACTGTGAATGTGAGAAAGAAGATTGATAATAATAGAGAACAAGGCTGGAGAGGGTAAGAGTGTAAGCAAGGAGATATTTCACTCACTCATAATTGTACATGTTTAAGCACATGCTTAAATTTACAACTGATATATTAGTTTATATGCAAATCATCCCTTACCTTAAAGAAGAGTCTGTGAATTATCTTTGTTATACAATATCATGCTTGCAATTAGACAATATGAATCGTCCATTACAACGCTAAAAGCATGAAAGCCGCTTCTTACAGACAGGCGGTTTCATTATATTATGCATGTGACAATAAGCACCATGCCATGAGATGCAAGAGTAAAGATACAGATGCATAAGAGTCGGAACAAGAGACGTGATCGCCTATCACAATATTGAGAACAAGCCCGGACAATCAAATCAATCAATAGGTAGGAACCCGAAGCTAGGTGGATGGAAACTCTAACCCAGGTTGAGGCCACCAGGCACAAAGCGACGGAACCGCTTTAGCCGCCAGAGTCACCTAGAAATAAGCCCCATTGCTCAGGACAGACAGGCACAAGCTCGAATTAGTTCCGCAGAGGTTAGTTTTGTTTCCTTGGAAAGCTTCGTCATGATGTGCAGTGCCGTCTGAATATGAGTCCCCGGAAGTGCCGGAACCCCGTTTTCTCCAAAGCCTCAGCAATTTTGCCTCCGAGAAAAACTCTCATCCACCCCAAAGAGCAGCTAGTGCTACCGAGGCGCGGAGCCGGGCTTCCCTACCTGAGGCCTACCAAGCTGGCTCCCAATGCCCCCCCCTCCCCTTCCCCTCCTTTCAGAGAGATTTGTCGTTCAGTTCTGGCCACGGACGGCTAAGCTCCGCGAAGCGTTTTTGGCCCTTTGTTCGCCTTTACCTTCACGCCGTCCAGATGGTCCAAGCAAAGGCGCGCGGCTTTATCCTCTCAGGCGCCTTCGGCCAACCAGCCCCCGCGGTCGGCGAGCGCGGCAACGACCTCCTCCCCTACCCCAAAGCCCACTCCGGCTCTCGCTCGCCGCCCAGCTTCCCTTTCGTTTCCGGCTTCCTGGCCACGTAGGAGGCGGAGCGGAGCAGACCGACGCTGTAGACTAGGGTTGCTCTGGGTGTACGCCTCCTCCGCAGCCATCGTCCGCTCTTTATCCGGAGGTCGGTGGGAATTGCGACGCACACGTGTCCATAAGTTTGCAGCTTTTATTTGCGTTGAAGCAGACACAGAAAATTGGGTGGGGAGGGGGGGTGGATATATCTACGAACGCGAATGTTAATTCTAAAATCATATTTTTTTCTTTAGATAGGACTTGCTCCCAAGAAAATTTCCCAGTTAAAAATATTGAGTATCACGTAAAATATACCAAAGGAAACAATAGCACATCTTTATAATAGTTTGTTTTCTTCGTTCAGTCCTGTCCAAAGACTCCTTTGACCACTTCCTGCAGTTCTCGTCATGATTTCAGAAGTGATTTGCCATTGCCTAACCCTAACCCCAAGGCTGAAAAAAAATGACCGGCTAAAGTTACCGAGTTGGCTAAGGCAAAGCTAGAGCACACTGCCGGTTTATAGCCCAATGTCTTAAATCACTATGCCAAACTGACTCCAGTTGCATGTGTACAGTTTTATATCTTGGGCATGCTTTCACACAGGATGGTATTGCTTTCATTTTTTCTGAGCCTTGATGTAGTAAGAATTGTTTACTTCAGTCCTTTCTGCAGTCTTAGCTGGAACAATCCTATGGTCATTTGTAGATCATCCAATTCCCAGCAGCACAGTATCAATATTGCAATCCATGTGTAGTATTTGAGAGCTAAGATGTTGATAGAGATACATTTAAAAAGTAACAGTGATTTAGTGCAATCAATGTAATAAGGCAGCTAACTAGAGGTAGTCCTCGACTTACAACAGTTTGCTTAGTGACTGTTCAAAGTTACAATGGCATTGAAAAAGGTGACTTGTAATCAGGGGTAAAATCTAAAATTTGTTACTACCGGTTCTGTGGGGGTGGCTTGGGAGGGGTAATGTGACTGGGTGGGCGTGGCCAACTTTTTTTTTTTTTACTTTTAAAAGCATTTTTCTACAACCTCTTCAGCCAAAGAGATTGCAGAAAAAAAATGCTTTTAGAAGTCTCTGACGATCAGGCAACTCAGCTGGGATTGCCAGACGCTTTTAAATGCATTTTGTTTTATACAACTTCTTCAGCCAAAGAGGTTGTAGAAAAAATGCTTTTAAAAGCCTCTGATAATCCCAGCTGAGCCGCATGATCATCAGAGGCCTTTTTTTACTTTTAAAAGCATTTTTTCGGCTGAAGAGGTTGTAGAAAAAATGCTTTTAAAAGTAAAAAAAAAACAGCCTCTGATGATTGCGCGGCTCAGCTGGGCATGGGTGGGGCACAGGGATTTTAGCTACCAGTTCTCCGGACCACCCACCACCATTGCTACCGGATTGGGTGATCCGGTCCGAACCGGGAGCATTTCACCCCTGCTTATGATCATTTTTCACTTATGAGCATTACAGCATCCCCATGGTCATGTGATTTACAATTGGATGCTTGGCAAGTGGTTCATATTTATGATGGTCACAGCATCCCGGGGTCATGTGATCTCTTTTTGTGACCTTCTGACAAGCAAACTCAATGGAGAAGCTAGATTCACTTAACAACTGTGTTACTAATTTAACAACTGCAATGATTCACTTAACAAATCTGGCAACGGAGGATTTCGGACAATACCTGTATGACAAAATCGCTCAGATCCGGGGGGATTTGGACTCTGACTGGGTAGATCAGGGCAGGGTGACGAGGAATAGTCTTGAGAATGTTATCTGGGAGGAGTTTGATGCTGTGACTCCCGATGATGTGGACAGGATTTTGGGGAGACTTAGTACGGCCACATGTTTACTGGACCCGTGTCCCTCCTGGTTGGTACTGGCTTCCCGGGAGGTTACACGAGGCTGGCTCCAGGGTGTTATCAACGCTTCGTTGAGTGAGGGTTACTTCCCCGCTGCCTTGAAAGAGGCGGTGGTGAGGCCTCTCCTCAAGAAGCCGTCCCTGGATCCGGCAATATTGGCCAACTATCGTCCTGTTTCCAACCTTCGCTTCATGGCGAAGGTTGTTGAGAGTGTGGTTGCGCGACAGTTTCCACAATTCCTGGAGGAAACATCTTATCTAGATCTGTTCCAGTCGGGTTTCAGGTCTGGGCACAGCACGGAAACGGCATTGGTCGCGTTGGTTGATGATCTCTGGAGGGCTCGGGACAGGGGTTGCTCCTCTGTTCTGGTCCTGTTAGACCTCTCAGCGGCTTTTGATACCATCGACCATGGTATCATGCTGCACCGGCTGGAAGAGTTGGGGGTGGGAGGCACCGTGTTGCGGTGGTTCTCCTCCTTTCTCTCCGACCGGTCGCAGTTTGTGTTGGCAGGGGGGCAAAGGTCAACCTCGAGGCCTCTCGTCTGTGGAGTGCTGCAGGGATCGGTCCTCTCGCCCCTTCTGTTCAACATTTATGTGAAGCCGCTGGGCGAGATCATCCATGGCTTCGGGGTGAGATACCATCAGTACGCTGATGACACCCAGCTGTACATCTCCACCCCAGGCCACCCCAACGATGCCCTTGAAGTGATGTCTCAGTGCCTGGAGGCTGTGCGGATCTGGATGGGGAGGAACAGGCTGAAGCTCAACCCTTCCAAGACTGAGTGGCTGTGGCTCCCGGCATCCCGATATAGTCAGTTGACTCCATCACTGACTATTGGGGGCGAGTCCTTGGCCCCCACAGAAGGGGCTCGCAATCTGGGAGTCCTCCTGGATATGCAGCTGTCCTTGGAGGAAGGACAGCTTTTATCAGGTTCGCCTGATTCGCCAGTTGCGGCCCTTTCTTGATCGGGATTCCCTGTGCACAGTCACTCACACCCTCGTCACCTCTCGCCTTGACTACTGCAATGCTCTCTATATGGGGCTCCCCTTGAGGGGCACCCGGAGGCTCCAGCTGGTCCAGAACGCAGCAGCGCAGGTAGTGATGGGAGCAGCATGGCGCTCCCATGTAACACCGCTCCTGCGCGAGCTGCACTGGCTCCCGGTGGTCTTCTGGGTGCACTTCAAGGTGTTGGTTATCACCTTTAAAGCGCTCCATGGCATAGGGCCTAGCTATCTTCGAGACCGCCTGCTGCTACCGACGACCTCCCAGCGACCCGTGCGCTCCCACAGAGAGGGCCTCCTCAGGGTGCCATCAGCCAAACAATGTAGGCTGGTGACCCCCAGGGGGAGAGCCTTCTCTATGGGGGCACCTACCCTCTGGAATCAGCTGCCCCCAGAGATAAGGAGAATCCAAGACCTCAGTGCCTTCCGCCGTGCCCTTAAAACCCACTTTTTCCAGCAAGCCAGGCTGGCTTAGGAAGTAATTTTTTAAAATTTTTAAATGTTTAATTGGTTTGTGGTTTTTTAAATTTTGGGCCAAATTTATATAGATTTTAATTGTTTTTAATATTTGTATTTCATGTTTTTAATTCTGGCTGTGCACCGCCCTGAGTCCTCAGGGAGAAGGGCGGTATATAAATTGAAAAATAAAATAAAAAATAAATAAAAAACAAAAGTTATAAAATGGGGCAAAATTCACTTAACAAATTTCTCACTTAGCAACATAAATTTTGGTCTCAATTGTGGTTGTAAGTTGAGAACGCTCCAGAGGGTTAACATCATTGCCCAGAGGATCCTTGGTTGCCCTCTTCCCTCCTTGGAAGAGCTTTATAGCTCCCGCTGCCTTAAGAAAGTTCAAAACGTTCTTAAAGATCCATCTTATCCTGGGCATCCTTTTTTTGAACTATTGCCATTTGGCAGACGGTATAGTATAATAAAAACAAGGACAAATAGGCTGAAAAACAGCTTCTATCCCAGAGCAGTAACTATGTTGAATTCTACTGTATAGTGTAATATTAATGCAGTATCAGGGGTTTTCAATTCAATTGTGTAGAATGTGAAGGATGTGGGGTTTTTTAATAGTTTTTATGTATGATGTACACTGAAGATGGCGTTTAATTTCGTTGTACGAGGTGCAATGACAATAAACTTAAACTACCTGTATAGTAAACCCCTCATAGGGTTCTCAAGAGAATGTGATTGGAAAAATGTTTTTTAATTGGTACACTGCACTGCTAAAAGGGTGGGATTTATGCACTGAAACTCAGCTGCAGTCCTGCCACTTTGCCGTTTTTGTAAATATCACAAAATATAGATACAGAAATATATTGTGAAATTGTTGTACTTTTTATGATTTTACTCAGTTATTAAGCTGTTCTATTTAGCATTAGGATTTTACATGTCTAATGGTTCAATGTGGCCATTTTTGAAACTTGAGTAAGATGAAAGAAGAGGATTCTAGTCTTAGTTCTTCAGGCAATATTAATAATCTTCTGGGTCATTTCACTGTAGTAGTGCAACAACTAACACAAGTCTATCTTTACAATTAAAGCAACTTTTCAATGGTTTTTATAATGACTGGTTATCCAACTGCACTATTGTGCTTTATCTGCAGTAAGCACAATGCAGCAATGGCTTCAGTGAAATTGAAAAGATACCTAGCTGAAAATCATAATCTTTTGAATATAAAAGTATTGATTATTTTTAGTTATAGGAATATCAAAACAGAATAAAGCTTTTGTTAAAAAATGTCACAAGTAGTGGAAAGGCTCAGAAAACAGATTATTTAATAGAACTACTTGCCCATAAAAGAAAAAAGTCATGGAGTTAGTGAAAACCTAATTATACTGAGTAAAATGCTAGGACAAGGTGCCGGATGAGAAGTTGAAAAGCTCATTAAGGTATCATTGTTTTCTGTAGTTATATGTTGGAATAGAAGGTTAAGGAGATGACCAGAAGTTTGCTTTAGCAGACCCCCATCATCTCTTTGAAAGCATCCTTAGGATCCTGCTCTGAAAAGCAACTGTTATGGTAGTTAAGAGACATTGAGTAAAAAAGCTAAGAAAATATGTTAAAAACAGTTTATTCTAAAAGTCCAGGGAACTCTGGAATGTGCGGTTCCTCCTTTAAATCATTCCCTAATAGACTGGGTCCAGGGAAAAAATTAAACAATCTGGAATTCTCAAAACAGAAAGTATGACACATAACTAGAAGAAAATTTTATTGAGTCTTGTAAATATAACTGTATGCACCCAAGATAAATTGTGTCTTTCATTAATTTGTTTACAGAGCTTCTAAAATAAATATAAAAATTCTGTTCAGATACCAGTTTTTGAAAAAAGAGTTAAACAACAATTCTATTCAGTACACAGACAGCTGACTTAATGGCCAACATATAAAAATAATTTAAGACAATTTAACAATTTCATTGAATAATGTTTATTTGTTTGTATAAAAAGGTAGTGCCACATATATTTCTTATCGATCTATTAATAACGGTTTTGATTTCTGTGTTTAGTCCATTCAAAGAAAGATCTATCTACAAATAGAGTTTGATTGTTTTATTTTATTCCACAATACATGAACAAATGAATCTTGTTTCTAATATGCTCATATTTATTTTAAATTGTATACAATTTATAACCATTTCTATGTAATTTGGAATTTATATACACTGTTTAATTTCAAAATAAAAAAGCATTTTATTTTTGCTTTTTTAATTACAATTTATAGTTATCCAATGTACTGTTTGAAACAGGCAATCAGGCACCTTGTGTTATCTTTATGCCTTTATGTGCATCAACCAGCAAAGTATATAGGCAATTCTCCTGTATTATGTAAAAAGGCTAATATACATATGATTTATGCACAGATAAACTAAAAATAGAAAAAAAATTGAATGGCACAGAAGTTAGCATTCCTATAAGTTAATATCTGGAGTTCCTGATTAAGGGAGACAGGCAGAAATTCCAGTAGATTCCTCAGGGTTTTGCTCTTTGAAAGAATACCTGTTTAAGAAAATATATCACATGAGTTTTAAAAAACTGGAAAAAATCAAATAGAAAGGGACTGTACTAATGACAGAAGCAAATTTAGAATACTACAGCAAATTTCTTAGATATAATGGAAGGCAGTAAATTGGCACAGAGCATCCGACTTGGGCAGGATATAGTATTGCAATCTATCGATTTCTAACACCAAAAACTACCGTATTTTTCAGACTATAAGACCCACCAAGATTTCCATGAGGAAAACAAGAAACAGTCCTCAGGAGCACTCTGCAGGTCTCCCAAACATTCTATGCGTCCTATTTTTGCGAAAAACGGGCCTTTTTTTGGCAAAAATGGGTCGCGCAGGGCGGGGTTTCAGGAGGCCAAAAATGGCTGTATTCGATGTATAAGACACACCAACATTTCCACCCTCTTTTAGAGGGGAAAAAAGTGTGTCTTATACTCCGAAAAGTACAGTAATGATCTTCATATATAATCTTAAAAACAAGTTTATCCTTCCAAGAAAGTGTTGCAGTATTATGGTGTCATATATTTAATTATGGACTTAAACTTAATATAATGCACTATGAACAAATAAATTTGTAAAAGATAATAATCAGTAATTTCTTGAATACCATTTAGAACTAAAATATACTCATGATGTGCATTTAATTGTGTTAGATAAAATTTAAATAATAAGTTAAGAATCTAATTATACCTCACCGATTTAAAACTCTTCCTTAGATTTATTAATTGAGATAGACAAAAAGCAATTCCAGTTTAGTTGTTGAGGACATAGTGAGTGAAACTGACATCTATTATTCATCTATCCTTAATCTATTCAAATTTGCTGCCTCATATGGTCTAATATCAACACAAAATTTTGTAAGTCGAAAACCTTTATATGAGTTTTCTTTATAAGCAATTCTTTTGAAATTCTGTGTAGGAGTGTCACATAAGTTGAAGTAAGAAACCCCCAGTCTCACACTGCCCTAAATATTTTGTGTATTCGAATGTCTACAAAGAAGCATCTATATGTAGTTCTTCAGATACAGGTGTTCTGTGATTTGCCATGGTCAGGGAACCCTTCTTGCTAACCCTGCTGAACATATGAATCTGAGCATCCACCCATCAAGATAGGGTGACCTATCTCATAACTTGTAATGAGGCTTGTATGACCATTTCTAAAACCATATGAAACCTCTTCATGTGATACAAGAAAGCTTCTGTATTGACACACTCATCATTTTTTCTACAAAAAAAAAATTAGTTGAACCACATCGCTACATCTATAGCATGTTATTATGAAGCAGTTACTCATAAAATCATCTTCACCTCAACCATCACTCAGTTTTACCTTTTTCAAGAGCAATATGCACACAAAGACAACAAAGGCAGAAAGTATCAGAGACAATAATTGCTTAAACCATACAGTTCATGTGCTATTGTTCATGTTTACATGCGTTCAAGACTCTTGAAAGCCAAAATAAAAGTATGAATTTAACCCACCTTTAAGTAGTTTTTAAAAACTTTAGCATCAGGCTGCTGAAGTGCTTGACAGAATTCCTATATGAAAAACGTATTTCAAGTATTCTAAATTAGAAAAATACATACTTGAAAATTATACAATCTACTGCAATCTTACCTTTTTCAAAAGAACCAGGATTGATTAGATGCTGTTACTTGCTATGACAGTACATCTCTAATACTAAATGCAAAATATAACCAATTCTCAGTGATCTAATTGGTAAACCTAGCACATAAGAACACGCTATTCATATTTGCACCAATTAGTTTGATAGAAGAGGTAGAGGGCAAAAATATAAATTAAAGTCATAATTAGATAGACTTCACAAATTTTAGGGTATTTATGCACTAAAGCAGGATATTACAATTGTTCATGTTTTCTATTTGGACAGTTAGTATTGATTCCTTAGAAACTCAGATTAATATACTATTCCAAAGATCAATAACCTTTTTGCAATCACTTGAGCTGATATTCTCAAATGAAAAACTCTGTAACACTTAGAACATTTTTAACCAGATCAGCTTCAGAATATGCCCATCTACTGCCAAAGCCACATGCACTGGATAAAAAAAAAATTCTAACCTGTATTATTTCAGGGGCTACTTGCAATGAAGGGAGATATTCCTGTTGCAAATACTGGATACATTCAAGTCCCTAGAAAACAGTGACAGTGATTAGATATTTTATTATTTCAAATCTGCTCCATTTTACTTGATTACACCATGTCGACAAGATTATAGATTAAGCCTCTATAAAGCTTCATGTCCAGACGGTCTTATAAACCAATATTATAAATGCTTCGAAGATGAACTTCTTCAGCCACTAAAGGATATAATGAACGATATATTACAGGAAAGAAAGATACCTCAAATCTGGAAATAAGTCAATATTGCGTTACTACCGAAGAATGGTAAAGATGTTGCAAAGATAAAGAATTATAGACCAATCTCATTATTAAACAATGACTATAAACTTTTTGCTGCAGTTTTGGCAGAAAGATTAAAGAAGATTTTTACAGGCATATATATTCATGAAGATCAGCCTGGCTTTCTGCCAGAAAGACAATTAAGGGACAATGTGAAGACTGTTTTGAATATCATTGAATATTTACAATATCAAAATAAAAAACAGATAGCTTTAATATTCCTAGAGAAGGCCTTTGACAATCTATATTGGGTTTTTATGTTTAAAGTACTGGAAGAAATGGACTTTGGAGAGAATTTTATTCAAGGGGTTAAAGCCGTTTATACGTCATAGCAAGCAAAAATTGTTATTAATGGTGACGTAACCAATTCATGTGAAATTCAAAAGGGTATGAGATCAGGATGTCCTTTGTCTCCCTTGTTGTTTATTTTGGTGTTTTGAATAGAGATATTAGGCAAGACAAGTAAATAACAGGCATGAGTATCAAGAAGGAAGTTTATAAATTGAGGGCATTTGCTGATGAGTTGGTTATATTCCTGCAAGACCCAAAAAATAATATAGAATATTTGATGAGGAAACTAAATGATATGTTGAAGCTAAATGAGTTTGGGGTTTTAGTGGGTTTTAAGATAAACAGAAAACAACAATACTTATCAAGAATATGATATCTCAGGAATGTGATATATTGAAAAGGAAAAAAAGGTGAAATATTTGGGGTCATACTGACAAATTCAAACACAAAACTGTTTCAAAATAATTATGTGCTTCTTTGGAATGATCTCAAAAATGATTTATTAAGATGGGATAAATTGCATTTATTATTATTGGGTAGAATTTCTGTAATTAAGATGAATGTCTTACCAAAGATGCTCTTTCTGTTTCACACGTTACCAATACTTGCAACTGATACTCCATTTAAACAATGGCAGATGGATATTTCTAAGTTTATGTGGCAAGGGAAAAAACCAAGAATTAGATATAAACTACTGCAAAATGCTAAGGAAAGAAGGGGGGTTGGGTTTACCAGATTTGAAACTGTATTTTGATGGTTGTTGTTTGGTTTGGTTAAAAGTGGGCGAATCTCCAGAATAAGTGTCTGTTTGATCTAGAAGGTCATGAATTAAGATTTGGATGACAAATTATTTATGATATGACAAGTTTAAAATAAATGTTGATTTCAACAACCATTTTGTTAGACGTGCCATTCTTAGAATAAATATAAAACAAGAGGGTTTTGGGGTTTTTTTTTTTTTGCAAATATGCATCTTTGAATGTCCCCCCAGGAAGCCTCTTTTAGAAAAGAAATGGTGATGAAGCCAGACTGGTGGACTTATGGTAAAATAATATCTTTTAATTTTGGTGATCCTATCCTCAAATCTAAGGAAGAACTAGAATCAGAAGGACGTGACTGCCACTGGTTTACATATTTACAACTGAAAGATTTAAATTAGACAAAAAGAATTATGTGTTTGACTTTGTTTTTGAATTTGAATTTGGAAAGTGAATATGTAAAGTATTATATGATTCAGTGGGCAAGGAACTTTGGATATAATGTAATGCTTGAACAATGAGAGAATATGTGGATGAACGGTTTAAAATTTACACTAAATTATAATGTAAAAGGAAATTTCTATAAAATGATGTACCGTTGGTATTTAAAAACAGATAAGTTATCAGGTCTTGTATATAAAGGCATTTCAAATGAATGTTGGCTATGTAAATGTAAAGAAGGACTTTTTATCATTTATGGTGGACATGTGATAAAGCAAGGAAATATTGGAGTAGGATTCATATTCTAATTCAGAAAATTTTTAAAGTGAATTTAAATATAAAACCAAAAACTTTTATTTTGGGTTTAATGGAAAAAGACTTAGACTTTTTTTTTTTGAACTTTGATGTTATGTATGTCGACAGCAACAAGACTACTTTATGCACAAAAATGGAAGGACACTTTGATCTCCACAATGGATGAGTGGCTGCAAAACTTGACAGAGTTAGCAGAGCTGCCTAAACTGACTGCTTTGATAAAAGAAAAAAACATAAGTATTTTTGTTTCTACTTGGAAACCACTTCTGGATTTCGTGCTTGCGGTGGAAAAAAATGAAACTTATTTTGGATTTTACCAATTAGATAGATTTGTTGTTATAGAAATATCTAATTTACACTAATAGGTAAAAGTAAAAAGTTGAAGTTTGATATTATTATCTTATCCTACTGCACCAAAGAAAGTCAGAAGTCAATGCCTTCTTTTTCTTTTTCCTCTTTTCTACACTCTTTCTTTCCCTTTTTCCTCACCTATTTTTCCTACTATTTGCTTTCGTATTCTTGTATTTTAAATTATAAACTAATAAAAATGGAAATGGAAGATTATATATTAACAATGCCAATGAAGACTGAAGACTACAAAAACAAATGAAAAGATATTTCAGTCACTTTTAATAATTGTTACAGATTGGAAATTTACAATTTTTAATATAAAAGTTCTGAAGAGATATTCTGACAAAAAGTGCTCCTTGCAATTATATATGGTACCATTCTGCAATTCTGGCATGATAAATAAAATTCACTAGTTCTGCAATTAGCCATTATGCAAATTAAACTTAAGCAAACTGTCTCGAAGTAACTGGCACTGAGTATGAGTAATTTATTTCAAAAATTTACATCGAGGAAGTACAATTTCAGTTTTCTATATGGATTTCTGATGGTGCTATTGCCAGAACAAAATAAAATTAACATAGAGAAAACTGTCAAAATAAATAATCCAAAATTCCTGAGTAAGACAAGTTTCAAATAAAATATTATTTTCAGGATCCTTACCCTTTTGAGATGAATTGTTTTTAATGTCACTGCACATTCTGATAAAGCCTATTAAAACAAAACAAAGGGATTTCAATTCAAATATTTGAATATTATAGTTTAAATGTTTGTAATTTAAGTTTTAGGGGACAAGTACAAATTATGTGAAAAAAAGATGTGTTCAACTTTAAAAGATCTAAGCTATTTAACAATCCTATACGTGTTTCTATGACAGCCATCTGTTTCATTTATTCAGATGGAAATTCTACCATCAGATTATAAAGTCTTCCAGATAAAGGGTTTTCTAGGTCTTTGAAGCTATTCTTTGAGGTGGAAATTTAATTTCCATGAATCAGGAATATCATTTGAATTTAAAGCCCAATGTTTTTTGAGCAGGGTTTAGTCTACAAAGAAACCTGGTGAGATCTGGATCCCAAATTTGACAATTTGAAATTCAGCAGATGTCCTGCCTATGCTACTTAGTATCATTAAAACAGTATTTTAATGCTACTAAGTAGTTGTGAATATACCTCATATACAAAAAAATATGGAAACTAGAATACTTTGAGATATCTCTTTAAGCTTTTGCTTTTGGGCAAAATTCAGAGGTCATGAAAATTGACCACCATATTTTCTGGGCAACAAATGTTATCCAAGATTCCTAGTTTTAATTTACCTCCAGGTAAATTACCATTAAATAGCATAGACACATCCAGCAATTTCTCAATAAAATCAGATGATAGAATACCTACCAATACTGTCTGTGCATCTGCTAAGTCAAATGTTTGTTTCAAAGGTGCTAAGAAACATGCAGGAACAATATGTTTATAGACAAAGTCAGCAAAACCCACAGGTCCATCTTTGCCTCCTACAAAAAATATGAGTGCTCTTATCAATTTGTTCATCTGCTATTTAATTAATAGGCATGCAATTAGTGCATTATTATATGAACCCACTATCAGCATACTTTAAATACGCTGATTTGTATGCACACAGTAAAAAATGCACTGAGTTTAAACCATTAAAATATGAATGGAGGCTTACCCCAAAGTTCCACCAATTTTGAAAGAATAATAAAGCAAGTTTTCTGAGCAATAGGATCAGGATAGTCAACTGCTCCTTGGATGATTGTAAACAGTACACGTTCTACATTCTCTGCACCTAGAAGCAAGAGAAACGGTATAATTTAGTAATATATAATTAATTATGAATCATACAAAATTATTTACAAAGACAGAGATATTTTCTACATAAATGGATGCCAAATGTCTCTCCTTCAAGCAACATACAAAAATAAATTTAAGAACTGTATCTATATTATTAAATAGTTCAGTTCAATACAGTTCTAAATTATTCACTGTATCATCCAGGTCTTGGTTCTCTTTTAATATTAATCATATTGTGCTTCCAGAATTAAAAATCCTAATTTTCAGCCTTATTCAAAAAATAATTTTGGGATAATTCTGGTTTGAAAATCGCAGGTAAATCTTTTTTATATAAATAGTTAGGGCTCATAAAGTACAAGTAATATTAAATTTAGGGTGGCTCACTGGCTCAGTGGTTAAGGACGGTGCGGTGGTTCAGCAGTTAAGACACTGAGCACCATACAATGGGGTGAGGCCATGTGAGTAGATAAATAGGTACCCCTTCAGCTGGAAGGTAACACCGCTCCATGATGTTATGGTGGCCACATGACCACATAAATGTCTTTGGACAGCAAGATGACCACTGTCCCCTATAGTTGGCAATACCAGTGGAGTAAATCTGAAGGGACTCCTTTACATTTTACCTTATTATTTTAAAACAATGTTAATTCAATGCATTTTTTTGTTCATTGCACACTTCAATGAATATTTGAAAAGGAGTAGTTGTCATCTTCATGTGTAACAAGTGTAAAAATATGGAGGGGATAAAAAACTAAAACAACAGGACTAGCCACTGTGTAACATGAAAAATATGTTAATATGGTTTGGGAAAAGTAATACAATTTAAAGATGTGAAAATAATTTTGATTATATTCTTCAAATTTGGAATGTTATCAATATATAAAGAATTACGTAGATTATAGGCATGTAGAATTTTACAATATATCTTTTATGATGGAAATATCATCATTCTGGATTTGCAGTTTTAGACTGCTCTTTGCCTTGAAACTGGTTTTCTGATTTTAATGGATTAACAATATTCCATAGGAACAATGTTAAATAGCATTCTTAAAAACATATACATACGCACACACACACACTGTAATTTATGTGTGTATACACACACACGCAAATATATTCACACATACATAATTTGTAAATCTTCTTGTTCCACCACTCTTTCCTTTCTGCATGTTAATACATAAAAATAACAACCCCTAAAGTCTATTTAGAAAAGGAGATACGTTTTATAGTAGAAAAATTAATTTGCAATCTAGCAATATAAAATGCCATAAATGTAAATACATTTATTTTGAGGAAGCTGCCATTCACAAAATGTGCTTCCTAACAAAGAAAATTGATAAGTAGGGTATTCCCCATCCCCCGTTTTCTAATTTTATTACACTTAAAGTATCTGTTTGAAAAAGGACTCTTATCTTACCCTGATTTGCTATGACTTCACTCATTCCACTGCCAGTGACTGTTTGTAGGAAGGCAAAGTAACTCCTTCGCAACATTTGCTTTTCTAAAGCAGCAGATTGGTCATTATCTTCAGCAGGTTGGTGCAATACTTCAAAAATAGCATGCAGTAATGGCATAAACATTTGCTGGAGAAATGGGGAGACCTGGGTCTATAGAAAAATATGGCTAATTAAATTTATGATGCGCAAATACATTACAATAATAAAAATGGAAAGTTATAAAAACAGTCTGTCACTGCTCCATAAAATTAAGTTCAGCTGTAACTTCATGGCTTGTATTAACTTTGTACTCTTTAATCATTTCCTATTTTTGCGTTAACAGTTTATTATAACCAGGCAAAGCTGGAAACACTGAGGTTTCCAGGATATCCTGGACACTAATATCATGGTTCGCAGTCGGTTTCAGTCTTCAAATCTTCAATGTGGAAGCATTCCTAGATACTCATGAACTTACTATTTGTTTCTCATTTAGTTTCAACAGCAACAAATGGTGGATTCAGAATAGAAATTTTGTATTTTGATAATATATGAAGGTCAGGTGCCATATGTGCCTTGCCTTGCATTCTAACTGGCAATTTTTCTTTTAGCCTTATTATTATTTGAAAAGGATGTTTTGTAACTAGCTGTAACCAATATAATAGCCATTTTTAAATGGCTATTTTTCCTCAGAGCAGCTATTTTATTAAATTTGAAATGATCAGTAGGTACAAAAAGTCTGAGATATTTAAGATAGACTCTTACCTTAAACTTTGCTGTGATCTGGTTTATGAGGGGAATAAATTCTTGAAGATCTTTTGCTTCACAATCCTTGAGCATATGTTCAGAGGCCGAAGGAATGAATGGGAGAACTTCTTCCTCTAAACAAATAATCATTCGGTGAAGAAAGGTGCGTACACCGCTTCTAAGAACTTCCTTCTGCAAGGGGCAGCTAAGAGCTGGTAGAAATGTTTGTAAGCAGTCCAGATACACTTCTGAGCATCCACATTGTTTGACTGTCTGCTTGTTGCTGAAAGCTTTGCTAGTACGGCTATGCAAATAAAATATATATATATTACACTATGGTTTTGGTATGCCATATAAAATAGTTTCCTAGGATGAATTATTTGAAATGATAAGTTGGATTCTCTTCTCTTTTACCCAATGATTTATTTCATATACAGTAGCAGCAAAGAGGTACTCAGTTTGGTTCAGGAGAATATAAATTTCTCTGAACAAGATGTACTAAAATTTCATTGAAATCTGAACAATTATAGCCTTATTTTATCATAATTATAGCCACCATACTCTTTATCATTATAATTATAGCCAACATACTCTTCCTGGGCAAGAGGTGTAAGTGTGTCATGGTTGTTTAGAACCAGACCCTTCTGGAAGAAATAGATTTCCTAGTTCCATTTCAGCTGGGTTTGAGCACTGCCGTGTTAACCCCAATAGATGATTTTTATCAGAACACTGATGGAGGACAGTAGCCTTCTTTTTTTATTATTATTATTTTTATTATTATTATTTTTATTATTATTATTATTATTATTATTATTATTATTATTAATTTTATTACTATACCGCCCTTTTCCCGAATGACTCAGGGCGGTGTACAGCCTGATTAAAAGCACAAAGACAGACAGAATTTAAAATAAATTAAAATTATTAAATGATAGGCTCAATTTAAAACTCCAAATTTAAAATCCCATTTTTTTAAAAAATGGGATTCTTGATTTTTTTTTTTAATTTTAAAAACAAACTTTATTCGTATTTAAAAAAACATTTAAAACAAATATAAGAAAAACAAACAAGTTTCTCTTAATCAAAAACACAAATTACATATACAGTACATATACAGTACTCAACTTCATCTATTGACTACTTTCTATTATTATATATACATATATACATACGCACAGTGGCTTATTTCCTTTTGTATCTCTCTGACAGTGCAGTTGTTTATTTATATTGATTTCTTCTAAATTTCATCTTTAACCATTCCCCCTCCTCTGATTTATCCACTGGTACCAGCTATTCCATATTTTGAAGTATTTTGAGTCTTCCTTATCCTGTAACTCTAGAGTTAGTTTGTCCATCTCTACGCATATATAATTTTTTTGTATTAATTCCTGGTCAGTTGGCAAGCGATCTATTTTCCAAAGTTGTGCTAACACTAATCTAGCCGCCGTTATAATGTGGAGTATTAAGTATTTTATATCCTTTCTAATATTCTTATTAATCATGCCTAGTAAAAAGACTTCGGGTTTTAATTCAATTTCGTAATTTGTTATTTCTAATATCCATGTTTTTATTTTGTTCCAATATCTCTTAATTTCTGGGCAAAGCCACCAAGCATGGTAAAAAGTTCCCTGTGTTTTTTTACATTTCCAACAGGCCGGATTTACATTCGGATACATTTTTGCTAACCTTGCGGGTGCCAGATACCATCGGTACCACATCTTATAATGATTTTCTTTATAGGCTATCGATTTTGTCATGCTATAATTGTTTTCCCATGCTCTTTCCCAATCTTCCAATTGTATGCTGTGCCCAATGTTCCTCGCCCACGCTATCATCTGCCCTTTGACCAATTCTTCTGCAAAATCGTATTCAAGTAAATATTTATAAATTTTTGAAATTAATTTCCCTTCTTTAGACTCTAGTAGTTGTCCAATCGATTTTGTTTTAAGTCTATTCCTCCCTCCTCTTGGTCCTTTCTGTATCTTACCTTTATTTGCGAATAGGGCCACCAGTCTATTACTATTCCTTGTTCTTTGAGCTCTTCCCTAGTTTTCAATTTCCCCTGAACATCTACTATTTCTCTATATCTTAAGATCTTTTGTTTTGTTAATATGTTGGGGTGAGTTATTGCTTCTATGGTTGATAGTCAGCTGGGAATTTTCATATAGTGTTTGTGTTTGATTTGTTGCCATGTGTTAATTAAAGACTTCCTAATAGTGTGGTTATTAAAATGTTTATATATTTTGTTTCCTGAGCTCCATATAAAGGCGTGCCATCCCTTCATTAGGTCATGCCCTTCCAGGTTTAACAATCTTTGATTATCCAAGGTTATCCATTCTTTAATCCATAATAAGCTTGCAGCCTTGTAATATTTTTCCCATGCCGGGAACCCAAATCCGCCTCTAATTTTGTCATCTTGTAATATATTTAATTTTATTCTTGGTTTTTTCCCTTCCCACACAAATTTTTTAGTTATTTTGTCCAAATTATCAAAAAATTTCTTATCTAATTTTATTTGGAATTGTTTGGAATAAATAAAGGAGTCTTGGAAGTATGTTTGATTTTATCGCTGCTATTTTCCCCAGTAAAGACAATTTTAATTTCCCCCATTTTTCTAGATCCTCCTTTATTTTCTGGACTAAGGGGTCATAATTATCTTCTTTTATTGTTGCCGTTCTAGCCGTCAAATTTATCCCTAAATATTTTACTTTTTTAACTACTTGCAGTCCAGATTCTTTTACTAATTTCTCTACTTGTTTTGTTGTCATATTTTTTATCATTTTTGTCTTTTCTTTATTAATTTTTAGACCTGCTACCTTTCCAAATTTTTCAATCTCTTTTATTAATTTCGGGGTTGTTTCTATTGGGTCTTCTATGAAGAAAACAAGGTCGTCCGCGAAAGCTTGGACCTTGTAATCCTCTCTCTTAATCTTTAATCCTTGAATTTCTTTATTTGCTCTAATTCTAATTAACAAGTTTTCCAAAGTTAAAATAAAAAGTAGGGGGGACAGCGGACATCCCTGCCTTACTCCTTTATTTATTCCAAAGAATTTTGTTGGATCCCCATTCACCAAGACACATGCTTTTTGATTCTGATATATTGATGTTATCATTTTAGTAAATCTCTCTCCAAAGTTCATACTTTTGATTTGCTGCTTCATAAATTGCTAGTTTACTTGGTCAAACGCTTTTTGTGCATCCAGAAAGATCAGCGCTACCTGTCTCTCTGGATGCACCTCGTAATATTCTAAAACATGCATTGCCATTCTTAAATTATTTTTTATCTGTCTTGTGGGCAAAAAACCGTTTTGATCCTGGTGTATTTTGTTTTGTAGTAATGTTTTCATCCTATTGGCAATTATACTCATGAAGACTTTATAATCGGTATTCAATAAAGAAATCGGCCTATAGTTTTTTATTAATGTGGTATCTGCCCCCTCTTTGGGTATTAGGGAAATATATGCTTCTTTCCATGTATTTGGTAACTTTGCCTCCATTAGAGCTTCATTGTATATTTCTAATAGTATTCCATTTAATGATTCTCCAAATGTTTTGTAGAACTCTGTTGGTAAACCGTCTGTCCCCGGAGTTTTATTATTTTTTTGTCTCTTCAGCGCTTCTTTTAGCTCCCCTATCGTAATCTCCTTATCTAATAATTCTTTTTCTTCCTCTGTTAGTGTTTGCATTCCCTCCCCTTTTAAATAATGTTCAATTTTCTCCTCTGTTACTATATCCTTTTCATACAGTTTTTGGTAATATTGAACTACTATGTCCTTTTTTTCCTCTAAGGCCTGTTGGATCCTGCCCTCATTGTCTTGTAACTTCTGAATTATCCTTTTTTCTCTTTCCTTCCTGAGCCTATACGCCAGCCACCTCCCTGGTTTGTTTGCATGTTCAAAATAATTTTGCCTTATATATTTCAAGGTTATTGCATATTTCCCTTGCTCTAATATATTTAAATTATGTTTTGCTGTTAACCAATTTAACCTTATTTTTTCATCCCCCGGGTTTCTTTGCAATTTACATTCCCAATTTTGAATTTCTTCTTGTAATTTGTTATATTCTTTCTCTTTCTTTTCTCCGTTTTGCATTATAAGCTATTGTGAGGCCCCTTACATATGCCTTGGTTGTATCCCATAAGTTTTGTAGAGAGGTGTGTTGTTTTGTATTTTCCTTATAGAACCATTCTAGCTCCTTTTCCATGTATTTCTTATATTCTTTTTCTTGTAATAACTGTGTATTCATAGTCCATCTATTCTTCTTTCTCTGCTGCCCTTTCCACTTCATCATTATTGGGTTGTGATCAGCCCAATTATTTGATAAAATATCTACCTCTTCTATTTCCATCATTAACATCTTGGTTACCCAAGCCATATCCAACCTAGACCAGGACTTATGCGGATTCGAATAATATGTAAAAAAATTTGTTTCGGGGTTAAGACATCTCCAGCTATCTACCATATTTAACTCTTCCACCATATCTATAAAGGTTCTGGGTAATACGTTTTTCCTATTTTTATTTTGCTAACCACATTCATAATCTTTTCTTACATCTAGAATAGCATTGAAGTCTCCAATCAGACATACATTTTCCATTTTTTGCTCTATAATTTTCTCATGCACTTTTTTATAAAATTCTAATTGCTGACTGTTTGGAGCATATATTACTACCAATAGTATCTTTTTAAACTCAAGTTTTAGCTCTATCATAACTATCCTACCTTCTGTATCCACATACTTTATATTGCTGTCTATTCCTTCCTTAATATATACCACTACTCCTCTTTTTTTTCCTCTGCCAATGATGAATATTCTTTACCTAATTTTTTATATTGTATATATTTTATGTCCTGTTTTCTTATATGTACCTCCTGGAGGCACACAATATCTGATTTTTGTTTCAAATTTTTTTTGTAAATTTGATGTCGTTTGGATGGTGAGTTGAGTCCATTAACCTTTACAGATAAAATTTTAAAAGTCCGTTCCATTTCTTACTGACTTTCCTGTTGTTTCTTCTTTGTTTCTTCCTGTTCCTTTTTTTTGGCTCTTGTTTGCACTCCTTCTTCTTCCTGAATCTCTCCTTCGTCTACTTTCCCTCTTTGTTGTGGGGTTCTTTCCCGCTCTCTTCTCTGTTTTCCTTTGATGTTCCGTCCTTCTTCTTCTTTATTGCCATTTGTTGTCTCAACGCCCATCATTTGGTCGTATAATTCCCTTGCTTTACTCTGCGAGTCCACCTTAATTTTCTTTCCCTGCCACGTTACCAACATTCCTTCCGGAGTTGTCCATCTAAAGGGTATATATCTT